TCACTTGCTTACATACAGATGCAGGAGGACCCGTGTATCATAAACAAACTGCAGCCCAGCTGTCTAGGGAAGCATGTGATATTTAATCTATAGAAGACATGGAGAACCTTTTCATAATGCATGTTTTTGATTTTCAAAAATATTAAGACTGTTCTCTGCATTAATGATGGATTGGATTAAATGTGCCCATTTCCTAGGTAATGCCCCTCTGGAGTTCCACTGGGAACCCAGCAAATCTGGCATTTAAACTGAAGAAATCCCTGTTTAGACTGCGCGAGTTCCCAGAGGGGCCACAGATCTGCATTGCAGCTGCGAAATGCGGCGTCTTTTCTGTCTCTTATCAGAGATCTGTGCTTCTCCTGGGAAAATTCATCCCAAAGGGTTCAGCCCTTGCCAAATTTTCAACTGGATTTCGTTTGTTTATTTTAAATTTCCTTTTAAACATCTGAAACCATCAAAATTAAAAACAAAAACAAAACACAAACCAACAAAAACCAAAAAAGAAACAAAACCACTATATCTAACTTGAGTGAATCCCTCTCTTTCTGTCTATATATATATTAATTAATTCCTTCAGGCTGCCAGCTTGTATTGCAGGACTTAGTCTAAAATGGATTTAAGTGACCGAAATTCTGAAAAAGTGGAGTTTAATTGAAAAGTATCAATGTTTTTCTTCTCCCTTGTGGTATTGCACTGTCACCTCAGTAATCTTCCTGGCGGCTGATTCACCTGAATTTTAGAATAGTTCATATCGAGCGCTCAGTCACGAGCAAGATGCCGCTCTTCTGGCCCCAGTGCCGCGCTGCAGTGACAGAAAGGCAGTACCCCAGGGCAGGGACCCGAAGGCAAACTGCCCACCCCAGTCCTGCCTTGTCTCCTCCCATCAGCCTTCCAGGGAGCTTTTCCCCACATCTTCCTTGTTCATACTATACTGATATATCACACAGAATATCTAGCTTGGCATGGGGCCAGATATCTTGGGTCCGGAACAACTTCATACATTTTTTCCCCAAGTCTTCTACTGTGCTGCAAGGCAGAATTTTAATATGATGCTACATGGACCCTGGAGGCTGTGTCAAGCTACAAACGCAACTTCATCTCCCTCAGCTTCAGGGGTTCTCTGAGTAAGTGGGAGGGTTGCGCTCTATAAATAGAGTGTACCAATCCATGCTTCATTTTATGGAAAGGGGTGGTACAAAACACACAGATACAGTCTATTCAGGGAATTTGTTAGAACCTCAGGGACCAGCTCTGCTTACTTCTCAGACGTCTGTTTGTTGGAAATACCAGTTTAACTGACAGTTTTCTCAGCCTCAGTATCTTAAAAATACAGGCGTTACAGATGAGAACAACTTTGCAGACTTCTCCAGTCCTCATGTAGGGTTGTTCTCCCCATTACTGAGGTGTAGTCCATATTTTCTCTCACAGATAGCTGCAGCATATGAAGCACTTATTTGGTCATTGGCAATTATAACAAAGCCCACACATGGAAACCTCAAAAGGGCACACTCCTCAAGGAGCCTTGATTCCTCTGGATAAGACCAATCTTCCAGTATATCTCAGCAATAAACATGCCTGTCCTGGAAATAGCTTCAAAATGTGAATGAACTCTCTTTGCTATAGAAAGAGCTGGTAGTTACATATCTGTATGTCCCACACCATTGTCAAGAATGGTGGTAACATATAACTGCACTGTGGAATGTATGTGGAGAATCCCAAATTTCTGCCTGTTTGTCATGGCTATCCAGGCAATATTGTATTAATCGAGGAGAGGAGCAACCCTCCAGCATAAAGTGGATTCTGTGTTTGTATCCCAGCTATTGCAGAGTGCACACTGATTGTTGTCTTTGAACAACTTTGCGACCCATCCTATTACTCTGGAAGAGACATTGGGATATAAACAGAGGACAAACGACCCCCTTGTCAGCAAATATCCCCCTAAGCAGTAAATGTAGTAGAAGAGTTATACTTGTCCTAGCAGATGTTGCTTGTTAATATGATCTCACATACAGACGTTATTGCATTTGACGTTTTTCTGGAACTACTTGGTGAACGTGGCTGTGATGGAGTAAAGGACTGGAATGTGATTTAGCTTTTAAAGATCTGCCCTTGTAACAGTTCATGTCTCTAAAAGATGTGCTTCACTGTAAGACCAGCAGGGCCAATGTTGTGCTGCGATGTGGCAGCATCATTGTACTTTAAGTCCTAAGGGCAGTGCTGCATTCAGAACCTGGCTGCAGCTGACATTTGAGTTGTTGCAATGCACTGTTTGGGGCCAGCTGCTGCGGAGCTGGGCAACAGGAGCAAAGTGAAATGCAAGGCTGGATCCTGACCCAGAGTCCCCATTCTTCCGCTGCTAGGAGCACTAGGTTTACCCTACAAGTCTTACTAGGAATGAATGGAACTGCTTTGGTTTTCTTCCAGTCTGGTTGTGCTTTGCCTCATTATAAACTTCCACATGTCCTGTCCTCTCCCTGTGCTATCTCCCAGTCTCTTTCAAGGGCAACACTGGAATGCAAGAGAGATGCTTTTGTTGAGAGTTGTTCTGAGCCGAGAGGACAGGCAAAAATTAACCTTCCTCCTGCCTGGTGTTTCAAACAGCTTCCACCTGCAGGGAGGGGATGTGTTGAGAATGTGTGAGAGAAAACACTGAAATGGGAGAAAGCGCACAGAAAAGGAGGAAAAAAAAGTACAGCGAGGAAGCTGGAGACAAACTTCAAGTTGTGGATTATTTCTCACCCAGGCTCTAATTAGGAAGCCTCTTATAGAACTGTGAAGCTGTCAGGCTGCCAAATGTCAGCGTGTTTATCGGAGATCAGGCGAGTCTCCTGTCTGCAGCACTTACAGTTTGGTGCCATGATCCTCTGGGTTCCTTCCGCCTGTGTGAGTCACACTCAGCACTGGCACATTTTGGGGTGTGCAGGCAGAGCAGAGAGCTTTTCCTTTTCCCTTAGGAAGCCGGGAATGAACCCTTTCCTGAGATCTGGTCTCTTCATCTGGTTCAGTGCAAAGAGGGTTAATCATACGGCTTGGAGCAGCTTCAGCATTATGTGCCATAGTGACTCAGATTCCCAGGGAAATCCCCTGCTTATCTGATGGAGCCTGTTAGTCTGCTAATTGAATAAGCTCCTATTAAAAGTGCTATGTTTTTTAATGACTGCTAACAAAGGGCCAGATTCGGATCTGATCTTTTTGCTTGATTTTTGCTGATCGTCCAGCCCTGCCTGAGCTCTGAGACGGGGCTCCACAGACCTGGGGCCCAGAGCTGTGCACAGTGTGGAGCTGGAAGCAGAGCACCAGCTCAGGGTGGGACAAGTGAGATGGCAATAGGGCATCAAGCCTTCTGCTCTAATGAGGCAAATCTTCCTGACAAGTGATACGCAGGAAGCTTTTAATGGGGAACTTCACAAAGAGGGAGAACACACCTGTGGGACTCTGTGGCACAGCCTTCAGAGGGAAGCGTTGGTTGGGAGACTACCAAGGCTCCACGTAACGTAATTGCTGCAAATATCTAATACGTGATCCAAGTCATGCTCTGAGTAATTAACTTACCCAGTGTTGAAATCGGGTTGATTTGTTGATTCTGCATTTGAGATGTTGTCTATGTCTGCATAGGAAAAATGCTTTGTATGTCACTGCATATGCACATTCAAACCTTAATTTTAATTAAAATTATGTGCATTATATCCGTATCTCCTGTTCCTTGTGAGAATAAGTTTGAGAAGATACTTGTCTAATAGGAACCAAAATAAAAGTGGTTAACCTGTGAAGTGCACGTAGCTGGGTCCCAGCTGCTCAGGAAGAAGGGTGTAATCTGCACTCTGCCTGCAGCTGGGCCTGGTCAGCCCCGGGCTGCTGGCATCATCCTGGGACCGCATTTCCCTTCTTCATCTCACCTGAAACCTCTGCTGACTTCCCTGAGCTTGTGTGACATCAGACATGAAACATTTTCTAATAGAAGAGGACTTTTTCGTTTTTCCTTGCCGATGGAGGATGGGATCTGGCCGCCTTCACCGCCACGTGTCCCCACGCCTGCTCACTTCTTTGTGCCTCCCGTTTGTTTTTCTCCTCTGAAAGTTTTTATTAAAATGCAGGAGCTTCTTTTAGAAGGTCCCACGTATTCATGCTGCTGCGGTGCCGCTGCTTCAGAAGTTTCAGAAGCAATCCATAAACGATGTTTTTTTCACACGATAACAATAGGGAAGTGTCAGAAATCTCAGGCTGCTGCTATCAGAGGCAGAGTCTAAAAAACATTTTTCAGGCTCTTCTCTATTCCCCGCTCCCGAGCTGTCAGACGCAGTGACACGGCTCCATCACTCTGCCACTCGCAGTCCCAACAAACAGAAAATGATTTCCAACTGGCAAACACGCTGTTTACTTTCCAGAAAAATTGCACTTTCCAATCTGACAGCTGATCAAGGGATCTCCTGCTGCTGTCAGCATGAAGGACTGTTTAAACACAGGGATGGAAGTTTAAACATTTTCTCATTATCACAGAATAAAAAAAAAATTAAAAAATAATAAAAAAATAAAAGCATTGAGACTCTCCGACCACCTGCTGTGAGAGTAATGAAGCGCTGTCACATGACCAGCCGGCGAGGACTTTTATCTCTGCCCCAATATCATTACTGAAGTGACACCTGTCACATGACCCACATCAGGGCTTTCATCTGTGCTCCCCAAATGCAATTCTGGGTTGTGCAGGGGATTTTTTTTCCCCCTTTAAAGAGCATTGCCCACTTGTGCCACTACAGACAGGCTTCTCCCAGTATTAAAGCCCTCTGATTTTTTCTTGGGGATGTGTAATTTGGCCAAGAGACCTTCTCTGACCTGAAGTAAAACAGATTCTTGGCCTGGGAAAGAAGTTATTGCATTTAGTTCAGGATATTTTTAAAGCAAATATTTAAGTCTGCTGTTAAACTCTCTTTACATAAAAGACGATGTTCTCTGAATTAGAGGATTTCTCCAAAATCTCAGATTTGTTTTCAATTTTTTATTAGGTGGTGAGAAGAAACAGCTTGATGACCCTCGAGAGCAAAAATCTCCATTTACTTGCACTTACAAACTCTTACCTGCTTTGCCAAGGCATCCTACATCTGCCAAGAGGAGTTCTGGAAAAAGGAAAGGTCAGTCTTTACCAACGTCTGGGATTTTTTGTGAGGTCTTCACCAGCCGACACAAAGATTTGTGACAAGCCCACATATATCATAGCAGTACTGAGAGCTAACTCACCAGAACCTGTTCAGTCATTACCTCAAAACAGAATGTGAAACATCCAGATGTGTCAGGGGGTGCCCAGCTACATCTCAACTGGATGTGGGCAGGTTGGAGATAAGGTTCAGAACTTCGTGGCCTTTCATTGCTCCTCCTTTCCCACTCCACATTTAGCCATGCATGAGCTGTAGTACTTGTCTGACTCCTTTGTAATCTGATTCAGTTCATTAAAGCAATGAAAGACAAACCCAGCAAAAGAGTGAATCATTTTCCACCTGTTTAGTAAGTTAAGTCAGCTCGTCTAGGGCTTGGGAAAGCACCAAAGAGCAAAAGTGAAAGACTGTGGCAGTACAAGCAGGTAGAGAAATGGGGAATAATGACCACATTTTGGATGGTGCTAACTTGATCCATGGATCCAAGTGTGTTTCTTGTTCTCTCTTCCTGACTTGTTACAACACAACATCCATTTTCTCTGAGAGCTGTTGTGCTTGAGATTGGGCAAGCCAGGGGATGGAGAATCTGCTGAAGTGAACACTCCTGATGTAAACAGTAGACTGTTAGTATGTGAGGCGGATGGTTCTGGGGCAATCGTCTCTCTGGTCTGATGTATTTAAGGCACTGGCCCTCAGATGTTGTTGTTAATGAGCAGATGAAGAGTGCTGGGTTGCAGCGTATCCTTCTGCACTGCCAGCGTCTTCCTGGCTTTCCTGTCCTCCAGATACAAAGGTATCAGGTATCATTTGGCCCTTTGGCAATTTAGCGTAAGAGCTTCGTTTATTATGGGAGTTGCTGCAATGTAAAAACAAAGCCACGCTAGGCACCGTGAGGAAAGTGCATCTGTTCCCATTATTAGACCACTTACTGCCCTTGCAAAACAAAAACATTTCATTTAACGTTTATTGAACTGTTCTTCAGTGTCTCTCAATTTGAAGTAGACATCCAGCCATAACCATGACAGGCATTATAAGTGTTGCATCTTCACTGCTCTTCTCTGCCAACCCCAAAAGAGCAAAAAGAATGCAAATCTCCCTGTCCCAAGCTGGGCATCATTTCTGGACTCTCTGAACATGCGTATTACAGTGCAATGTAACTCAGAATTGGAGAGCTATTTCTTACCAGCACAGATTCGCTTTTAAAAGACATCTTATTTGTAGCATTTTGCAATGCAGCAGCCAGTGCTTATGTGCTTAAGAGTTGTTGCTTTGCTTTGAAAGAGATTCCAGTTGCTCTTCTCTGCACAAATAAACCTGCATGCAGGAAGCTGACACAGAGATACGTGCCCAAGTAGAACTCTATAGGCTCTAGTCAGATTTTGTTTGTACAGCTGTGAGGTCACTGTAATATTCATTGCAAAACAAATAAAATGCATAAGGTCCTGATACTGACACAAAATTCTCTTCAGTGTTTCAAAGTGAGGTCAGGCATCCGTACTCACTTTGAGTGCTTGGTGTTTGGTAGACATGGATCCACACAATCTAGAGCTGGAAGAACTTTTTGAACGTAGCTGGCTTTTTTATCAAAGCACAGACTATTGAGGACTCTAACAATAACATAAGGAATACTAATTGTCTTCTTAACTGAGCAATACCTGCAGCTAGCCCATATGCCTTTTTCCTCTGCAATTATGTATACAGTGAGGGCAGAGGGGGACATAAACAGCTGTGCTGCTTTCTGTTTGTATCTGCAGTGCTTAGTCAGCACTCAGAGGAACTGTAGCTCCTTTAACCCAAAATGACTCTTCCATCTCTTTCTGTGGCTGCCATCTACTTCTCCGGTGCCTTGTCATAGCTCCGTAACAGGTTTCGTCCTAATACCTCAATGCCATGCATAATTCTTGATCAGAGAAGTTGCCCCAGTCCTGCCAGTGACACTATTCAGATGAATAAGAAATACTCAAGAAAGTTTGCATGCCTACACCATAACGATCTGTCTTTGTATTCTTTTTTTTTTGCTCCCAGATCTGCTGTGAGATTACAGTGAGGCATCTGACTTCTAAGGACCGAAAATAAGAGAAAGTATCCCAGATAACTGAGACCAACCACCCCGACCAAGCTCATGAATGCTGTGAGTTGTATTTCTGATTCTTCCAATACAAATTATATGAGGAATTTTACAGTAACTATAGCTGGGAAAGAGCACCTGCACATTTCCCCATGTATCCTGATCAGCACTCACCTCAAATTAGTTTTCCTTCTCATAGCCTGTCAGCACCCCTTGAGATCAAGGAGATTAAAACACCCTGGTAACTCATTAATGAGCCGGGACTCTGCAACAGCTGGACCAAAAATGGCCTGTGTTTGTCTTCATCTTAATTCTTTGCCATCTCCCCTCTGCTCACCAGCACCTGCACACACTTGAGACCCAGTATAAGAAGACCCCTGAATTCAGCTCTAAGCAACCAGTCTGCAATGCATATGTCTAATGCTCTGCTGGTGTGGAACCAGTATGCTGGTAATCCTGTTAGCAGTGGCAGAAGCTCCCTCTAGGAAATTATAACAAATAGTCTTAAACAATTCCTTTTGTTGACAACTTTATCCAAGAAGCCATCTTCCCTGGAGACTTACTCAACTTTTGACTAATCCCCTCCTTCCCTCAGGAGCTCTTTTGTTGAAGTAGATTGTAGGCAAACCCAAAGAATGACAGGTTTCTGTAAGCCTTGGATCAGCCTCTACATTCTTTCAATTGTCAGTCCCCATCTGTCCTGTTTGTACAACGATCTTCGGGTCCAGGGATCTCTCTATTAACTGACACATGGCTGCATTTATTCTGCAAGTCCAGTGTTCAGACTATGCTGTTACATCTTCATTGCCAAGTCAATCTTTCTGACGTTGCTTTCTGAAAAACAACAGGCAGGGCAACTGCACACTTTTGTTCTCTTCTGCTGAAAGGTGATTTTAAGAAATAAGCCACTCTGGACCAGACTCTGCCCTTGTTTTACACCTGCAAAGATTTTGCCTCATTTCATCAATATGAAAAGTTATTTCAAAGGTCTTTGTTGAAATGGAGTATAGAATCTACTCCTGTTGCAAAGGAATTCTGTTAGCATATGGCCTAAGTTCTGAATCAGAAGGACAAATAAGTCCTAATTCCAAATATTCTGCAGGGCCAGTGACTTCAGTTACTTTCCTTTTTCTTTGTATGAGAAAGCAAGCAGATTCCAACAATCCATACATTTCTTCTCAGCAGATAGAGGGGAAAAGGTGGAATAGAGTAGAAGATAGATGATGTATTGGCATGGAGTGTATGTCACCCTGGGATAGATGCCTGGCACTATCTGGTCCCTTCCTGAAACCAGAAGGAGAACAAGGAAGAGACTGTGATGATGTTTTGTCTCTTGCTGTGTGGCTCAGGGCCCATGGATTCAGGATTGAGCCTGGTATGTTTAGTTATTTGGTTTTGTCTATTTTTATAACTTAACTCAGGTTAGCCAATGAAAGAAGGCTAGCCAGTTTCATTATGTTCCCAGGAAATTCCATTCTCTCATGCACCAGCGTGAGGCTGTTGAGCCTTAGATGCCTATCTACCTCTGATTGGATTTGAAAAAGCACACAGAACCCCTGCTTTCCATTGGTAGCCTATTAAAATGACAAAAAAATTATTGTTTCATTTTTAACTTTGCTTGCCTGTCCAAATCCAGAAAAAAAAAGTTTGATAATCTGAAAAACATCACTTACAGAATGTCTTCTTGTAGTTAACTGCAGAAGAAGAAAACTTGAGCTGACATTTAAGCTTGTTTAATATGTTCTGTAAGCAGCTTAAAAAAAAGGACACCATCACTTTGAAGCCAGGTTAATATTAAAAACAAAACAAAAACAAAACCAACCAACCAACCAAATCACTGAAGAGAATCTCCTACTTTTTTCATAGTTTCAGTGTTTTAAATCTTGTGTTTGTGAAGTGTCATCAAAATCAGGTTAAATTGGCCAGAGCTAAGTCAGTAAACACTGAAGCATGTGTGCCCTCCTCAAGTGAGCTGTCCGAGAAGCCTTACCAGAACTGACAGCCATTTTTATGGCAGGATTAGTTTTTCTCTGATCACAGAGAGGGAACAGCCACCCTGTCTGCCCTTAGCCAAGCAGGTGAGCTGGGAATGAATCCAGGCTGCCACCAAAATCCAGTCTGGCCACAATGTTGGCTCCTTCTCAGAAGTACTGAAGGCTGTCCTGTCTGCCGTTGTCCACATGACAAGGACAGATGGGGTTGAGCAAGGTTGTAAGACCAGGCACTGGGGGCTGGGACCTGACCTCACAGCAGTAAATACCATCTACATGCATTTAGAAGCACAGGAGTATAGCTGAGATTTGTCCTGATATCACAGCTAAGTTGCAGACAGTAAGTCAAGTTAATTTGGCCTCAAGACCAGCTTCCATGTCTGCCCTGTAAGCACGGGCTCAGCTGGTGACACTGGCTGGACATTTGCTGCTAGCAAATGCACAAAAAAAGCAAAGAGACAGGATATATGAAAAGGATATTTTTGTGTAATTTCTTTCAGTGATGTTAAGTGATCTTTTGTTAATAGAGGTTTTCTGTAATAAAAAGGAGATAAATGTTGGTGCTGGAACAACATTTTAAATCCTGGATGTCCAGCTTTTTCGTCTGCCTGAGCTGCACTGAGTGAAGAGGAATTGCCTTGGGTGCATATGAAATATACAATATAGTTAATGTACATAAATAACAGAACTTCTTTTATTTTTAAATAATTTTTATTAAAACATAAGAAGAGATGGGCAACAAAGACATAATGTTTTAAACTGACTCATACTAAAGTACATACTAAGGTCAATTAAAACCATGAATGTTACAAACCTGAGGGATTTTTCCTAGGTCGGCTCAGGTTCTGGCACATGCATAGGATTTTGTGTTTTATCACAAAATTAGGCAGATCAATTTTGTGACATTAGTCCAACATTGTGCTCATACAGTGATATAGATGAAATCAAAGTATGACATGTGGCAGAGTAACCAAATCACATCAGAAACACCCAAATGTCTGCTTCAAGCCACAGCGTTATATGGAGTTCTGAGAGAAAAAAGATTCCAATGACAAACTCCAGTTTGCTGATCAGTGGCTTGCTGTGGCAGGATGTGATGACACGGGCTGAACCCAAGAAAGGTGGAGCTATGGTTTCATCACTCCAATGGAAGAATACACATTGCCATAACATCCATTGCGACATTGCTCTTTTGCCCCCTGGGTAGAGCTCTTTGTCATTTCTGGTACTTCAGTGAGCAAATTCCATTGTGTGTTAAATCATAACAAGTAAGCTATAAAATGTGAATTCAATAGACATAGACAAAGGCAAACAAAGCAATTTGGTCAGTTTAAGCAATGTGGAAATGAAACCATATTTTGACTGGGGAGGCATCAGAGGAAAGGGCACTGGTCTGAGATTTGAGAACGTGACAAAACAAACCCAGACCTCCCACGATACCACTGTGCATTGTGCACTGGGGGCCACTGGCTTGCTGACCTCTTCTTTCTGAATTGTGAGAAGATTTGCCATTTTGTCCTCAGCCTGGGATGTGGTGGTCCAGCTATAGATATTGGTCGTTTTTCCACCTTCAATGCATAAAAGAATTCATATGCTAGAGAATGATGGCAGCATCTTTCATAGTGGCAACCACATGCTTACCCAAGAAGTAGCCAGTTATTTCTACTTCTTACCAAAACTTGCTTGAACCTTCTGAGAGATGTCCTTTATGATAAGAAGTAAACAGGTCACAGATTTCAGGTTGCAGTCTCACTGCTGGAACTGAGAGCACTGATTGTTCTTTGGAAAACAAAACAAAACAACAAACAAACAAACAAACAAAAAGAACAGGTTAAGGAGAAAGCTGCAAAATAGTCCTTTTCTTACACTGAGCTACCTTCCTAATACTCTCCTGCAAACTAATTCAGGATCCTGTTGTTCACATCTCCTTTTCTCCTGAATTTTTTGGAAAAGGATTTCTTTAATCTAGGCTTCCTTCTCTGGAAATCTCATCTGTGGTTTCTTTTCTTTTTTCTTTTTGTTTTCATGGAGCAACCAGCAAAATATTACTTGGTAGAACAGTCGTGCAATCCACTAATCAAAAGGATTCAAATGGATCTACCCGCTGCCAAGCTCTCTCCTTCCCACCCAGCAGAGGAGGAAAAAAAAGAAAAAGAAAAAAGAGATAGAGCAAAGGCATGAAGCTTCTCTCCTTCAGCAATCTCACAAATGCAAAACCTTCCACTCCAGTGACTCCTCATTAACTTACCAAATCTGACAGTCTAATTATCGTAGCTGCTTCACGCTTAGAATAAATAAATACTAAAGTGGGTGTTTAAAGAAATTGAGCAGTGAAATTCAGTCATCTAGACAGTCAATAGAGAGAGAGTTTATTTTAAAATTTTATATTCTTACGTATTTATATCATTTTAGGAAAGATAATGAGATAGTTGTCTTTCAGGCTAATTGAGTTCCTATGCTCGTGGCTGCTTGCTGTCACAATCTCAAACTTAGCTTTAACTTTTGTGCCTTAGAAATCTGATCACTGCATCCCCATTTGCTCTTCTCTACTGGTAACTGGCTGAAGGCAGAAGTGCACCTAAGGACGGGAAATAAGTACATGGAACTTCCAGACTGCATGTCTTTGACAACAAAACAACTAAATCTTCTCAGATTTGCATTTAAGAGCATTAAAAGGAAAGTGAAAGAAATCTTAGATATAACTTTGCAATTAGACAAATAACAGAAAAATCTCTACCAACCTCTGATACAGTAGCATCTGCCTCTGTGAAGGGTATTAGTAGTGCTCCCTCCCAGAGCAGTTCATCTCTCTGAACAATAGGACCTTTATAGAGATTCTCTGGCTAGAGATCAATGGGAGTTAGAGCATTTGATCCATGTCTGTAGGACTTTGTTTCCCCAAGTCATGTGGGCCAAACTTGGTGCCAGTTATCCTTTTGCAAGAGCATGAGCTGGGGAGTGAGCAAAGGAAACCCTCCTTTTTGTCCTTTCCATTGCCTCATGCTTCTAAACCTGCAAGCATTGTGGCTGCTTCAGGCCAATGCCCAAGGAAGATCTTAAGCAGGACAATATGTCCAGGGACTTGTGCCTTTGCCATGCTGCTTCCTGGAAACATCTATGAGGTTGCAGTGTCTCTTTCGGAGGATGGTGACTTAATGACATAGCATAAGACCTCAGAGTCCTGTCAGTATTTTCACAAGCCACTACTGTGGAGATCAGGCCACAAGAGCTGAAGTATGTTTTGCCTGAGTTAAGAGAAGATTGGCTTTATCAGCTCACAGAAGACTGCTTCTGGTTCAGAAATGACAGCTGAGTTGCTACTCATCACCAGCTTTGGTTTATTCCCTTATAGACACACTATAAACTGGATTCACACACTTGGTGGAAACGTCAATTTCTAGGTGTCTGTATCTGATTTTCAGTGAAGGATGTCCATTTTCTGTATACAGAGGTGGCAAAGCACACACAAGTGAGTGTAAAAGCCTTTCAGCTATGTAGAACACAGGGAAAGCAGCCAACCCAAACAAGCTGTCTGTGAAAGCCAGCTCTTCTTTATACATGCCTTGTGTTAACAACTACCAGAGTTAGCTGATCCCAGTGGAAATGGGATTTTTGGTAGGCAGCGCTTGCAGCCTTAACATCCCCATGCCTAAACTTGCTTTGTGCAAGTTTAGATGCAGCAAACATTAAAATAACAGTTCTCTGTCACAATCAAAACTATCTCCCCCTCCTTGTCTCTGAAGGCATAAATATGGGGAAGTTTTCGGACAAACAGGGAAGTGTTATCATCACCTGGCACACTGATCTTGAATTGCTTTGGGGAGCCCAAAAGGAGCAAGCCTAGTTTGATCTACAGCTTCATGGCTGGAGCTCTTCTCACAGTATGTTTTGCTGGCAACTCCCTGGTGCTAACTCCAAATTCCACTGTTCACCCTCCCTGCTTACCAGCCTGCTTTAAAGTGTTTGTGGCCAAAACAGATGGAAATAAACCAAGGTTATGACTAAGAATATTGGACTGAAATTGCTATTGTGTCTGACTTGACAACGGAGTAAAATACCTTCTCAGGAAGCCTTTTGCACTTCAGGACTTGACACTGGGTTGAGAGCACAGCTCATGGTTTCTTGATTCAAGAATCTCATATTTCTTCTAGGAGTTATTGGAACAGATCACAATTGGTCAGAAAACATTCTGCTTTAGCAGGTGGAAAAGGTTAGGCTGAAGTTTTATCAGAGATACTGTAGTACAGGGCTAAGCTCCACAGATAATTGTCTCAGGATTGGCTTAGGCCAGAAAAAGGATGTTAAATGCTCTCAGAGGACAAAATCTTTTCTTGCAGCATGAGTTACTCTTTATATTTTTCCTAGCACTTTGCATCCAAATGAGCGTAAGCAACAGCAACTTGTTCCCTACTTTGTGAGCTGACCAGGAAGCACAGAACACCTTGCTCCCCTCCCCATTCCAAGGGCAGCAGCCAGGGTCTGGTCGTTCACGTTCTCCTCAGTAATGAGAAAGATGCTATTCATAAAGGTGCTTTGGAACTCTCATTTCTCCAATTATTTTTTTCCCAGGAACTGACCTTTGAAAAATATCCTCTGGCTTCCAGCTTGTCATAGCAACTTACAAAAAGGACAGTTATGTCTACAATTACTTCATGACAATAGAAAATAATTTCTTATGGGAACGTTATTTTTTTCAAATGTTGTTTCCTGCTTACTCTCACACACCTTGGATCAACCTCCTCCTTTCACCTTTCATCTCCAACTCATTCTTTGCCCTTCTGCTTTAACTTTCTCCTTCAGAGGATGGGAACTAATAGCCAGCATCCTTCAGAACAAAGTAGGAACAGAATATATTTAAAACCTGCACTGTGTTATCATAGCAACCAGAATTTTAAAATGATACAGTTAAATTCTCAAGTAGTGTGACACTAAAATGACACAAGAGAACAAATGTCTTATGGCAGTAGGGATGGCTACATGGGCAATTATTCAGAATTGCCTAATTTTTACAGGCGTAATGAGTCACTCATGAATATGGTCTTGCAGGACCGTACTGCTCTGGTTTCTGCCCTGTGCACTTTGATTCTGCCCTCGGTATGTTGGTTGCTAAGTTATTGCCATGCAGTCGCCTGTCCAAAAGGTATTTCTTGCTGCATTATGGAGGATAATAAATATGGGATTGTGTAGAAACCCAGGTGAAATGAATCTCTGGAAATGTGTCTGAGAGACTGACACATTATGCCAATCTGTTTTCTCATTCCTTCTATTTCTCCTCACTTTCTCCCTTACTCTCACACTGTCTGTCTCTGTACCTGTTTTTTTCCACACTCTCTCTCTCTCGTGGCACTGACACTTTCATCTTCTCCCTTGGGGATTGGAGATGTCACTGCGGGAAGTGCTTGTCCGCCTCTCCGGCAGCAGCAGAGCCCTGTGGCTTTGACAAACCTCATTTAATTGGGAGGAAGCCAGGAGGGTTTGAAAGAACTGAAACATCCACGAAACTCCTTTTATCAGGCATAATTTAAACTCTGCATGGAAAAAACCCTATATGTATAAAGAAAAGTCAACTTCCCTCCTGCTGTGCGTGCTCCCCTCCTCCCCCCCCACCCCCGGCACAGGCAGGCTCCTGCGAGATTCCATCTTTTCATTTTTCTAAAAGTGTCAAAGTAGATTTGTGCTCTGTGGCTGGGTGAACAGAAAAGGAATGCAGATGTCTCTCACTCCTGCTCACGCACACACAGCACCTTCAGAAGGGTGGCAGTTTGGGAGAGATGCTGGCTGGCTGCTCCTTCACTTGGGATATGCCACAGAAGCCAGAAATTAAGTTTTCAAATAGCTTGACAACATAGTCATAGAAGGTTTCTTCTTAATTGCCCCTATCTTTAAAAGAAAAACACCAGAAAACAAACCAGCATAGCTGGTGCCTGGGAGACAACAGAGAACACCAGGGCTCTCTGGCCTGTCTCCCAGTAGGAGGGAGCTCTTCCTGAGAACCAGAACCTGTAACTTGTGAGACTCTCTCTATATATTTATCGTCAGCTGAGGGCAGGAAAGGCAGATGTGTGTGTTGTGTATATGCAACTGCATGCTTAAGAAAAGGCAGCAAGGGGAGAAGAAAATAAGTCAGGTAAATCTGAGGGAGAACTGGTGACAGGGTATGAGGAACAGCTGTTGCTTCCAAACATCAAAGGGAGCAGGAGGAGCAGACCAAGGGAACTGGGGCTAGCACATCATGCTGAGCAGCTGCGAATTCAGGACATCGGGAGGACCAGCATGCCAGTTACACTGAATACACAGCTGGAGCCAGCCTGAGGAAAAGCTCAGGGCCCCTAGGGCTATAGAACGGGGGAGAAACAGCCCATCAAAGCACACAGACCTCAGTTTGAAAGTGCAGCATGGGCATATCCCATCCAGGTCCATTTCTGTTATTAACTCTGCGGTGGAGTGGAAGAAAACGGAAAAACAAGCTGTGGAATTTGCACTGGGATGTAAACTTTGCAGCATATAGGAGTGGGGAGGGAGGGCAGGAGGAAACAAGATGTCCAGGTCCAAAGTACTGAAGAAACTTGTTGCGAATGGCTATTTGAAGTAGGTCTTTGTTGGTGAGGTGAAATCAAGGGTCAGCTTACCAGCGGGCACTTGATAGAGCTGAGGAGGCAGAGGGTTGAAGAAGCCATGAAGAAGGGCATCTTGTGCAGAGATTCGCCCTGGAGGGAAAGCTGTGAGCATTCTGGAGGCCAAGTCCTCTGCAGCTGGCATCCTGCCCAGCCTAGCAAAACAGATGGGAAAAGTAGTCCAGGAGATGAGCACAGGCCAGAAGGCCGGAACAAAATTAGATCCAGCCCTTCTCAGAGCTCGAGGCAGAGATAGTGATCCATGGAAGCTGGATAAGCTCACTGCAGATACATGGCTCCCTCAGACATTTACTTTGCCATGTGAGCTTGGTTATGTTGAGGAATATATCCAGGATCTCAGTTCAGGCTTATCTTTTCAGGGGAGTTTTGAAAATTAGTTGTTATTTTTTTAAAGCAGTTTGTGAGTAAAAGGGAAAATGCTGGTGGGTGAACTGTATCTTACATGGCATAACTGGAAAGTTGGAGGTCAGTGTTAACAATTTACAGGGAGAAGTGCAAGTATACGGAATTACCTGAGTGGTCCACTGAGCAGATCGGAGGTCAAAACTGAAAAACTAAAGGAAATATCTATTCCCCATCTTCTACCCTAGCACCAGTCATGTATCTGGTTGTAAAATGTGTTAGGGATTCAGGGAGATGAGTCTGCTTTCCAGGGTGAGAGATTAAACTAGATGCAACACACATGCTCCAAGCCCAGCAGATGCCAAAGCCAAGCAGCTGCTTCCTAGAGGAGCACGCAGCTGGGGACAAGGAAGTGGAGGAGAGAAAACAAACCAACAAGCAAACAAATAAAAACAGTCATTTAGTTTTACAGCTTTTACTTTGTTTGTTTGCTCTGATCATGTTTCAGCACCAGGAGGCCCATGGAGCCCACTCTGCTGGGCTTCATCCCTCTGCCCCCAGTGCCCCATCCCCATAAGACCATGGCCGGGAACCCCCACCCCTCCGCTTTCCCTCTTTCCATTTGACATGGCAGCAATTTTGTTCTGAGGGTATAAAATGTCTAAGAAGCATTTGTGAAAGGCATCCAGCCTCACCATGGTATTTAAGGGCTGAATTCTCACCTCCTGCAAAACAGTTTACATTTGTGCAGTCAGGGGTGCAGGGACAGACAGGGAGCTGAAGCATCCAGAGGTGCTTACTAGATCCATGCTACCCAGGATATGGTGGGATCTTACCGGAGCCCTGCTGCCCTATAACCCAGCTGCTGCAAGCTGCCACCATGGCAGCCTCCCACCACTGCTCAGGCTTCCTGGTGACAGGCAAGCTCTGCACAGAGCTCCCCTTTGATTTCTTAATTGGCCTCATGGCTGAGCATTCTGTGTGAAGCAGCACTTTCCTTCTCAAGAAGGCCTTGGGATACCTTATAGATCTAGGGTCAGCCCACATGCAGCCAGAGCTCTGCGGTGGCCTGTCAGCATGCAGCACTGAGGGAGCCTGTCAAGGGACCACAGCCAAAAAGCAGAAGTGCAGTATAGCAGAGTTTCAAGGAACATAGTTATTTCTTTGTTCAGACTGAGAGAGGGTCTCTTCTGTTCTAGGATGTATGTTATCAGGGGCTGGGATGTACTGAGCTTTGTGTCTTTCTGAAGATGTGTGTGACAGTGGCTGGCATCTCGGCAACCTGTGCTTTGCTGAAAACTTCAGCAAGTTTGTTCAGCAGCTCAGAAGAGTCTGGGAAACACAGCTCTAAAGGACAGCATATTTCCTTTGAGCAGTGGTGAATCCAAAGTGATGAGCAGAACAGATAATGAACAGCAATGATGAAAAATGTGGCTACATCCACAAAGAATAGTTGATTCTTGACCTGAGTCCTGAGGACAGATCCTATCTATGAAGTTTGTTGTGTGTGAGAGACCTGTCAAAATCAGTATAGGGAGTGCTATGTTAATGACTCTCTGAGTTGTTAGGCACTTTGCCTGCTGATACATTTATTTCACATGTGTATATATATGCATGCATGCATGTATGCTTGTGTGTGCATGCACATCATATATACTTGAAAAATACTCCTTTCCTTTACAGGCTCAGGAGTGTTTGGTGGTGCCTGTTCAAGCTGAGGTATGTAACCAAGGCCCTAGTCTTGTAGATTTTGGCTACTGAAGAATATGAATTTTCCTCTCCTAACTAATCAGGGTATTGTTTCATTGTCTTGTGTAAATGCTGCCCTGGTATGTCTTTCTTACCACTATTGAGCAATGTTCCTACAGCATGTTTCTAGAAATGAAAATTGAGACAGTGCAAAGTCTGTCTTTGGTCTGGGCAAGAGAGCTTGGGAAAGCAGGACCTTCTGAATCAAATTGTGCCCCGCAAAAAGCTGCATCTAATTTTGCTTATCTGAGAATTGCTGCTTATCTGAGAACAATCCCTCTTCCTCATAGCATAATAGCCCCACTATGTGCCTACCTCTACTGCCATCTCTCATAACCAGTTGCATAGCTGATGTTAGATTTACTTTCTACTGCAGAGCCACCCTGCCATTCCTCAGCTTGCCAAAAGAGCTCATTTCAAGCTACATAATTGCATAAAGAAACAAATAAACCCAGCGGCCATTTTGACATTGCCGTTACAGGTTGCTTACCTGTCACAGATTGCTCCAAGTCTCTGAGGTCTCCTGGAAGCAACGAGTTCTAGAAAGTGTAATATGCAATCACATGATGAAACAAAAATCAAGCCAAAACTCATTCTTTGAGCCCTTACAAAAACACGTGCTCAGAATTTCAAAGGGCCCTATAGAATCTGTCATCTTAATATTTATAAATATACATTATTCCTATAGGATTTGAGTACTAGCACTGATGTTAGTAAGACTGTTCCAATTCTGTAACCCTTTCCTTTCGTGCATCAATACAGGCTTTGGGTCTCCATCTGCTACAGTGAAAGTCTTTGCTCTGACTTAATAAATGCAGCATCGTTCCCCAAAACCTTCACAGTGAGGAAGCAGAAAGAGGTTTGCAGGTCTGCATCCCCAACTCACAAGGGCTACTGAGGTTCATATATTCCCATATGGGCACATGGGGCTTTTCTGCATGGATGTGGCAGGACTGTGGACAAAACAAAGGCACTTGGATCCCACTCTGTTTTTGCCCACTGCTCTTGCTGTCAGTTCCTCACTAAGTTCATCATTCATCATGTTAACCATTTTCATGCATGCTTTGTACTTATTGATTCAAGCACCTCTACCAGACTGGAACACTGCAGAGTTTGCAGTTTTGGGAAGCTGTGTTGTTGCTATTCTTCAAGGACAGATTTCTAAACAATCCAGAATATGTGGAGAAACACATTCTTAAAATGTTTTCTTACAACACACGAATTTTCTCAAGCTTAGTTATGAATAAATGGCTTACATGTGGAAGATTCCTCTTGCAGCTGATTAATGAAAACATTTTCTTGCATCAGAAAAGCCATAACATTAACTGGTCTCTTAAGTTTGGCTGGGCCTTTTCCTGCAAAATCCTATGGCATCTGCCCTTCTTTGTGCCAGGGAGCACACCAAGCTGCTCAGCTCAGCCACACTGTTCAGGGACAGAAGTGTCCAGCTGCAGATTAAGCAGGAGGCCCCTTTGCCTTCAACCTGTGCAGCCATTTCCAGAGTAGCAGGCCCTGGGGCTGGGCCACTCTGTGTCTCACTTGATGCACAGACAATTTGAAAAAGTGCAAATGGCTGAACTTTCAGCACTTAACCTTTCCAGCAGCAATCTTTCACCATTAAGCCAGGCAAGCAGGTTGTTAAACCTGTCTATCACAGTGTAAGTAACAGGTCACAGCTGAAGCATTCTCTTACACCCAAATAGTAAGGTAATTTGTAAAGCGGTAAATGGCAATATAATCTGGGGTAGGATTCATGACTGCTTAGGTGCCAGAGCTCTGGAATTATCACCATTATATAGAAGATATATATCTTTAGTAGCCTCTTCCCTGGTCAATCACTGAGATTAATTCTGTCAGAATGCTCCTCTTGGATCGCTATTAACATGTTCTCAGGGTCCTCCTTCCTTCTCCTTTCCCCCTCAACTGTAATAAAAGTGTAGAAATAAATTGTCTGTACCAAGTAGAGATGTAAAGTTTACAGGAAAAAGAGAAGAAAACTGAGTTAAAATAATGATTTGGAATTATTTATTTATTTATTTATTTATTTATTTGTGAGGCAGGTTTTGCCTCTTCACTGAGCTGGCCTAAAACTTGCAGATGCTGCAACACTCTATCAGAAAGTTTTGATTCACTGGAAACATTTCATGGCAATATATCAAATCCCTTTAATATTTAACAAAAGTGCCGAAATTACTTAAATATTATTATTGAAATCTTTTAACTGTAATATTCTTTAAGGAGTTTAATATAGAAGTTAAAAAACGCAAGTTCAGTTGCTAATGGTAGGGGAAAAGGTCTCAGTTAAATCTAACTGGAACATCATTTTGCTTGCGTGAAACACAGAGGAAACTGGACTTTCCTTACCTTACAGATAGTAATACCAGCTCACTTGCTGGGAACTGGGAGGAATACTCAAATTGCTATGTCTTGAGCAAGATTCTTGACTATAATTTAACATTTATATAACTGAGAGATTAATAATTGTCTACAAGGGGTAGTATAAGAGTCAGTAAGCCAACTACTGCTGTTCCAGTCCAAAGAAATCTCCCAGTACAGAATTCTGCTTGAGTGAGGACAGCCAAACTTGCCACTTAGAGTAGACAGAGCTTTGATTATAACTGGAAGATATGGGTAAGAAAACACTGTGTCTCTACTCAAGATTTAATGCAGTTAACTAATCCACTTTAAATCAGTTCAGATTAATCTCCTGACTGACCCCATATAGGCAAACCCACAGAGAATTCTGAGGCCTCATTGTGTTGAGCAGGGTAAGAGCAGAGCAGTAAATATTTTTCCTACTGTAAAGATTAAGACCAATCTAAAACTGTAAAACAGTGTAAACAGCTTCTCCTTGAAGGTGAGAGATACCGCACAAAAAAGTGGATGAACTACTGATTTAATCATCTTACAGTGATGACAGACATACACACGAAATGATGGGATCCTGTAGGGCTGATTGGGTTTTTTTTAATAGTGTGAGCAGATCTGAAAGGTAGTGCCTGGGTTTGTTATTTTCTATCAGTATGCAGTGCAGTGTGTGCTAATGAGGAAATACCTCCCTACATGAAAACCCAGGTGGAAGTGGCTAATGAACTGATAATGAGGCAAGCAAGCCAGAGGACAAAAGTTAAACTTTCCTAATTGATGAAGAGAGAGATGCCTCGTGCTGTTGGATGAAGGCGCTGAGGTTGCAGGCTTGAAGAGAAAATTTCTCTCATTAGTGAAATCTGTGTGGCTGCAGGACAGGACGAGCTCTGCCCGTGTGGCAGGCTGTAAAGTGCAGGCTGTGCCCAGTGCCAGCCAGATAGGGAGTTTCCCTTCAGTCTGGCCAGCATATACTGTGCCTTAGCTGCAGCACAGCTTTTCCCTTTGGGATCAAAGCCGTATGCAGTTTATAATGACAATAAGAATTTCATCATTTTAGAATTCAGTTTCCAACCATCCAATTTATTAAATGAAGCATCAGCATAAAAAAGTGAGATTAAAAAAAAATAATAAAAAATAAAAAAAAAACGCAGAGTTCAGAGTTCAGACTTCATCTGCGTTTTCAAAAATGCCATTTGATGTTTGTGTTTCACTGCCTGCTGCTTGTTGCCTCCATCTGCCGGTGGCATTTTGGAAAAGCAGGAGATACTAAAAATGTTATCAGGAGAAAGAGTTGACTCTTAAATCTCATTCAGCATAGCAAAGCTTACAGACATCTGAAAAACGAGGATTAATATGAAAACTGTTGGTGTACCTGAAAAGGCAAGTGAGCACCATGAGTCTGCAAAGGGAAGTGATACTACTTGGCATAGGAAACGTTATAGTCAGTCTGTGTGATAAATAGAGGAGCAAAGCTTGCTCACAGCAAATTACAGCTCACAGCAAGCTCACTGCATTATAAACAAATAAGCACTGCTTCCTCTCTTTGCAATCCAAATGTCAGAAAAATGAAGCATAAAACAATGCACTGGGTGCTCCAAGTATTCCCAGTTTGGCAAAAGCACTAGCTTAATGTCATGGGCTGTGATTCTTAATCCTTTCCTGCCCTTGACCCCTGCTGTCTAGATTCAAACTTGTAACCATTAATGGGGCTGGATCAAAACACTGGCCTTCTGGTGTCACCAATGGTGTTTAGAGGGGATTTAAACTCCCTGCTTTTCAGTGCAGTGAAATGAACACAGCAGTAGATTAATGCAAGGATTTGAGCTCACACAGCATGAGAGCTTTCAAAAATAGTGTTAACAGAGCTACAACTGCCTCTTTCAGGGAAAGCAAAATGAGGGGAACTGAACAAATGAACAAACACAGGGCAAAGTCTTGTCGCTACGGGCTGGGCTCCTAAGCACAGAGAACTGGGGAGAGGGCCAGTGAGCACACTGGGCATGGGGCTGGAGCTCTCCCAACCTTGCACATGCTGCAGCAGCCAGTTCTGAAGCCAGGGCTGGGGGAATGTCATGCTTTCAGGCTCCAGGTCTGTGTGTAACTCCCTGTCCCAGATCTCCAGTGGAGATCAGAAGCTACAGGGCTGGCCAAGGAGGAGTTTCTCACCTGTCTCCCTGCTCACCTGGGTTTGGACATGGGCTGAGATTTTGTCAAACTTCAGGCAATGGGCATGGGGACCATTTCTGAATTTCTCTGAGCAAGAGGGCATGGGCACAGGTGGACAAGTATTGCCTTGCACAGTTCTCCTACCAATTTTCCATAGAGGATCTAGGGGAGCCACTCTTCCTGCAGCTGCCCTATGTGTGCCTGACTCTCTCACTCTGTCTCCTCTTCAGGGTTTGCAGCAGGATGTGCTCAAGCCCACAGTAGTGACAGGAAAACATCTAAAGGTTTCCAGCTTTCATTTCAAAGATTCCTACTAATCCACCTGGCTCAGGAACCCTTCCAGTAACAACCTCAGTCTGGGGCTGAGCCTACACTGCTGAATCCGGTGGGAGTTTTGCCATCAACTTCAATGAGAATAGGATCACACCTCAGAGCTTTGTTTTGCGCGTGTTCGTGCATTGCCTCAGGCAGGAACCTGTTTGTTTGTTTGCTGCCTGTGCTCACTGCAAACATCAATAGGACTAGCTAAAAGCATTCAAGCCATCAGATCTGGGGAAGCTTCCCAAGTTTGTTTGCTTATCTGAACTGTCCCAGGCACTGGAATTCAGTCCACTGGGCTGGGAAGAACCTCAAGAGGGAAGGTTTCCTCAAGCAGCTCCAGAGCTTTCCCTGGGGGGACAGCAACACTTGTGCCTCGGGGAGAGGGGGGAAGTACTCAAGGCATGTTTAAAGCAGATAGCTTTAAACAAAGAGACTGATTTGCCTTTTTACTGGCAGCCTCATCAAAAACTGACTTGGTTTAGTTCATGACTAGAGCATAGTCTAACCACATATGCACAGCCTTATTCTAAGTGGGCTGGTTTCTACATCCCAGGTTTGAGCCATGTGTGGCTCCACTTTGTGGCTGGAGCATCTTGGATCTCCTTCAGCAGGCTTTGAGGAAGGGAGAGGATGCTGGCTTTCCAGTTGGCAGAGGTATTGCCCCAAGCACTGGTTCAGCAGCCCTCTTCCATGTTCTTGCCAGCACGGTGGGATGCTTCCACAGGATGGTGTCCTCTTCTGCACTGACTCCTGCATTTCTGTCTGCTGCAGCCACAAATACCACCAGCATCATGGCATCATGGCACAGGGCATTTCTGGCCTACTGTAGTCCATTAACAAAGCATTCTACCCAGTTTGAAAGCAATTCAGGTTTGAAAACTGCTTATACTGACTGCAGCTATTTCCATGCTGCCTAGGTGCGTGTCTTCCCCTCCCAGCCCTGTCACTGGCATCCTCCGCAGCGGCAGAGGACAGTGCTGCTGCTCAGGCAAAACAGTGCTTGGAGGAACTGTTGCCCAGGACACTTCTGGGTACCCAGATATTCCATGTTGATTCTACTAATTTCTTCATTAGTTTACCATTTGTGCTCCCACTTTTCAAGTATCGCTCAGTATTGGGAGAGTTTTTGGCATTGTATGCAGAGATGACTGCTGTCAAAAATTGTCATTGGTTTGTCATCCACATGAGCATGTCTTCCCTCCCTTCCAAACATGTAGAGTACCCTACCAAGCTTTCAGCAAGTTAGAGAAGAAAGTGCTTCCTCCAGCTGTCTACTCTGTGCTCTCTCCCTATCCAAATTAAACTTGCTGTGGACAGCGACACATTCCCATTTCACGCTGGTTTGATTAATGTGTCTCAGCTAATTGTGTGAAGGATTCCAGCCCCTTCGACTGTGAGACCAGGTTATTGTTCAGCCAGTCGTGGCTACCATGTGAAAATGGGGGCTGTTTAGTGTTCATGCACCAAAATCAAAGGAGGGGCATCTTGGACTGGGTCACAGAGCAACACCCACTTCTTTGAAAAGATGTTACTATGCTCTACTAAACCTGTAAACCTCTTGCTCAAAGCACGTCTTCTCCCTCCTCCTCTTCCCCCTGCCCTCTTTTTTTCCCCTCAAGAGAGACAGACTCCCCCCACGCTCTCTTAGGGTACAAGAGAGAGAGAATGGCTAGAGTGCAGATGGGTGGATTTCACATTCTAGGGTTTTTAATATTTCACTTTTATATTTCTCTTAGAGAATGATCCTGCTGAGAGGCTGAGAATCAGTGCTCATCATTTCCCCCTCACTGACACTTGAATATATTTTCCCAAGAGAAAACATTAAACAAAAAGAGAGAGAAAGACAGAAAGGGGGAGAGAGAGAGAGAGAGAGGGAGAGTGACTGAGCTAGCTTTTCAAAGCATACTTCTCAACCTGCCCACATCAAAATAAGAGACAACTGGCCCTTTGAAGTCCAGGACACAGACTTCTCTACCAGCCCATGTGGAAATAAAAGAAGCCAGCTTTATAAATCACACAGATTTCTCACCTTGCCCACATCAAAATCAGGGACAGTGACCTTTAAAACCGAGGCTTACGGCCCCCAAACTAATTTCCATAAAAATAAGAAGAGTTCAGATAAACTGTGTCCCCCAGTACCTGTCAGCTTTCCCAGTGTAAAACAGGAGACATTGGTCCTTTGCACTGAGGACTAACTAGATTGGGACTAACTACTTGGGACAATGAAGTCTTCCATCAGCCTAACATGTATCTCAGTGAGGCAGCTTTGCCATGCATGTACTTTTGCTTGTATCTTAGGACACTGTCTTAAAACAACTGCTGTCAAGTAGTTGAAGGGATTTAGTAACTCTTTTTCTTAGTAACTCTTTTTCCTAATATGAAATATGAATTAACGATCCAAAAATTATTAAGTGATCAGCAGCTCTGACCAAAAGCTCCATATTCTTGTGAGTTAAATCCTACCTGGCTTATAGTTGGGGAGTTTGGAGAGTCCTGGCCAGGTGTCTTCTGTTGGGACCCCTAATACCTGTGCAAAACAAAAAAAGAGACTGAGAAGAGCAATAGCCTCACTATATTGTACCCTGCAGAGCAGGATGACTTGGTCTCAATGGAGAGAGACTGCCTTAAATGGTACTGGATCTACCTCTGCACATAAATGACATTCACATTTTAGCACTTGATGTTACAACAGAAGGGTTCCTGCTGAGACTTAATGTTGTCACTCCTGGGAACATCACTGAAGGTGTATGCAGCTTCACTGCCAGGTGCCATTCATGCATACGTTCACCAGCCCAGGGGTCACACTGCTCAGCTGCTTTCGCTGCTGGAGGCGTCCTCCTGTGCCAGCACTGCACCGGGGACTGCCCACTGGCATTGGCACCCACTGATACTTTCAGTGGCAACTTAGGATGCAAGCTGTGATAGAAGCTCCACTAAGTGAGGGGTAACACAGGCAGGAAAGACAGCCAGGAACATAGAGGAGGATGGACACCATTTAGGGTGGTATTTGCCTCTAGAAGAAATGCTGATGAATTCACAGTCAGACTGTCCGATGGTTTGACAGAATGAACACATATTTCACAGCATGGAGATTTTCCAGCTGTATGTCTATATGGTGTTTTAAACAACAATCTGGCATGTAGATAAGTGTCTGGATGGCATAGAGTCCTGCACACAAATGCAAACGGTCTCTAAACCAGTGCCTGATGCCTCTATTATTAGTACATGAAAGGAGCTGACTATTAAAAAACAGTAGGAATCCCCATTCTGAACCTCCGACTATGCCAAATATCTCAAACTAGGCATCGAAAGCCTCGAAGGAGCTTTGAAATCTTGGCCTAACACAGAGCCTCATTCCAGGCTGTATAATAACATAAAACCTACTGTGAAAGGCACTAATTATTTCATGGTTCTTAAAGCTTCCTCATGATTTTTAAATAAGTTTTTGCCTTCTATAGCACAAATCCTATTAATCACGGTATCAGTTCTAATACTGGAGAAATGACGATAGGGCTATAACCCTCCAACTGTAAAACCACAGGAAACGTATCCAGAGATTTCAGCCATATGTGGAAGGGTAGCCTTCATTCACACTGCAATTCACTGAGTCCTGCCCTGATTTTGAACTGCGTTAATTGGCCAAGTCTGGATTTCTTTTTTCCTCAATAATTCTCTCTATTCTCTTTCTATGACAGAGAAATTCAGCATTTATTTCAGTGAACTGAACTCAAGTCTAATAGCTAGACTTACTTGTAAGTCTTTTTAACAAATTCTAGGTAGAAGCAGAGAGGAAAACCCAACCTGACAGGTGTGCTTCTGGATGAAGGAATTAAGAAGTAAAAGTTTGATTTCAACAAACTTGAGGCTATAAAGTCTTCTCTCACCACTTCCCAACTTTAAGTCTTCTCCACTTTCTGCTTTGACACCCCATCATTGGAAAACTGCCTGTGCAGAAGAGTTAATCCCTGGGAGGTGTGAAAGGGCAGATACCTATGGCAAAACCTAACGGGAACCTCTGGGTTGACCTTTCTGGAGAGCCAGTAGTGGGCTCAGCAGCGAGCAGTCAGGATCATACAGAATCCACCAGGGCCAGGAACTATCTCAGTTTTGCCAATAACCACTGAGGGCATAGCAATGTGGTTTTGTTTCCCCTGCAGAAAAGTCATCTTAAGAGGCTTTTAAATCTCTCTGTTCTTATTCACTGCTACCTTTGCAAAGTATTTTTCACGCTTTTCATTATACCAAAGCAGTCCCTAGGGCTGCACCATAATCTGGTTGATAGAAAATGTTCCAAGTCAATATAAAAAGGACCTGCAAAAAAACCCTGGGCCTTGCCATTTTCCAAGATAGCTTACTAGCAGTGTTAGAGCTTCTTTGTGAGATTATAGTATGCTGTATCCTACAATAAGTAAATGAATTAATGAGAAGGAATAGAATTTGCAGTACCTGCACACCTTTTATGCCTACTTCAATTTGATGTCACTTTAATTGGCTTTAAATTTTTGATGAGATGACAAACATCAAAGGAAAGTCATTTGATTTACTCCTGTGTCTGTAAGAAAGTTGCCAAATATAAAGTGGGTTACCAAGTCTGCTATGAACTTGGCAGACCTAACCAAATTATTTCTGCTGTTCACAGGACCTATGCTCCAGACTTCTCAGTCAAGTACAGAGCTGTAACAACAGATTCCTTTCTCTCCCATTTCGGGATGTATTTTACTCACCGTCCAGATCTTCTCCAGCTGTTCAGGAGCACTAGAAGTTCCTGCAAACGTTGGCTGGCCCTGGATCATTTCAACAAAGACACAGCCTGCACTCCTGCAAGAGACCCAAGGTATTAACTCATTCACGTGCTTCATCTGCATTGTGTTTGTGTGGGGTTATCAAGGGAGAGAGAGCAACTGTGGGAATGGAAATGTAAAAATCTTGATCTGCAAATTCTGAAATCCTGACATAAGTAAATACTACATGTTTTGCTTCTCTTGCAAAAAATACAAGTCTGATGTATAGATACCACGCATCCACCTGTTTTTTACCTAGTGCATGTGTATAGGAAGCAAGGCAGGACACGAGGTGTCTGCATACATGTACCTAAGCTTCAGCAAAGGCTGATCTACCTCTATGGTACACTGTTAGGCAGGGTAATTCATTATCAAAAAACTCTACTTCCTATGGGAAGGACCATGCTATACAGCCCTGGGCTTCCAGCACTGTCCTAAGTGCTTGCATCTAGCCCTTGTTCCCAGTTGTTTGCAGTAATCAGCAACTTCATCCAAGGCCTACACATTGAAACGTTTGACCTAAAAACCCAGCAAGCAAAACAAGACCGAAGGAGACTAGCGATTCATCACATTCGCATCCTTCCACGTTAAATGTTTTAGAATAACACGGAGCAGTCGAAGCTGCCTGTGAGTTGTGGTCCCATCTGCTTTTCTCATCAGCCCCGCCAATTAAAAAAAACAACACCCTTCACCAGCAAAACAGCAAAAAGACAGGTGATATCCTTGGAAGAGAAACTCACTAAGTACCATCTTTTTTTTTTTTTTCCTTTTTTTCTTTTTTTTTTTCCCCAGCAGCAAACTGTTTCTTTCAGGTCTCTTTCAACCTATCCTATTAAAAACCCACTTCAATAAAGATAGTCAGGGCAGATGCCTGCACAGCTGTAGGTTGTTTTCTGTGATAAAAAGATACAAAATCTGTGCGATAAGAGTAGAAAAAATAAATGGGGAACTACTAGACAGTTTATGGGCTAGAAGGGTACATTAGATGTAGATAAAACACAGAAGAACTAACCAGTAGAGTGATTTCCCTTCAGAAGCAATTAGCCCTCCTCTAGAAAACTGAAAGCAAGATTTCACAGCATAAAAAATTCAGTGGCAAAGTAATCCTAGTTTTATGTCGTCTTCTGCTTTACACTTTTGCTAAAGCAAACCAGCTTAAAAACAAAAACCAAAAAAACCAAACAAAACAAAAAAAAAGCAAAACCAAAAATCCCAATACACCAAAGCCTGCAAAAAATGCTTAGTTTTATTAAGGTGGATTAGTCCTGTTGGGAAAAATGATTAGATAGTTGTGGTCAGGATAGATTTATCTATTTGCAGGTGTTTCGGTCTTTTCTTATGTGTTGTAAAACTCTGCTCATTTACTTTTTATGTTTACCCTCCAAACATTTTATAGATTTTCTGCCTTTTCATTAAGCCCCAATCCAACTTTTCAAGTTTCATCTTCCTTTTATACCAGATTTGAGTCTTTCAAGCTTAAATGTTGAAACCCCAGGTTTGTCTAACTGACTCTGACAGTATTATTCTCACTCGCAGAGCTACAGCTAGTAATCTCCTCTGGTCATCTGTACTGCTCTCTTACCACTTACATCTTGTTTTTGCAATGCTGCAGGTGCTTTTCCCACCTGGCTGTAGTTGGTTGAAAGCCTGACATGCAGCTCATCTCTGATACTCATTTTGGTCATCCTCCGGTGATGTCAAGCCTGTTTGCAGATCCATATCTAATGCTGTTTTCACAAAAAACTCTGATGCACTTTGGGTCTGGCGAGCTTAGCTCCTTATTCGTCAAATGTGCTTTCACACAATCCAGGCTTGTCATGAAACTTAACCCACACTTTTGCAACACGGATTTTTGTGTTTCACAGTACTACCACATCACTAGATATTATTTTGGAGCCTACTCTGCTGAGACGAGTGCCATAACAACCTTCTGTTTTCACAGCTGATATATGTACTCAGCTGGCTCACCCTATTTTGCAACCACAGGGGCTGCTGCAATCCACTGATGCCATTGCACAAGTCTAACCACATGTGGTCAGTGCAATTTAGGTACTTTTGATTTGTGCCGTGAATAGAATCAACTTTGTATGTTTTTGAAGCAAGAAATCCTGACATTTATCCACAGTTTGGGTTCTGATATCCTAGCTAGAAATGGCCGTTAGACTGCCAACAACAGAAACTTCATATGGATTCAATATAGCCCCCATGTCAGATACCACTAGACATCCTGCAGAGATTAGTTCTGATGTGCTGTGAGGTTTTCTGAACTGAATCTAGACATACACAACACTAAGGAAGAGGGCTAGTAACACTGAAAGTATTCTGTGAATGTGATCTTCATGACTTAAATTGCTCTGATGAAAGATTTGAGGCAACATTGAAGGCAGACCAGATACGTTATTGCTGAGAAGGCATACAATCCAGGCAGAGCAATACATGGAAGTAAGAACTCTTTTTTTTTCAGTCTCTTTTTTTTCCCCTAGATTTTTCTAGATTCTATCTAGCTCTTTCTAATAATTTCTTAAGAGCAAATTGTTCAACTTTCAAATCTAATGAAACAGTCTTTTTGCTACTGGGCAAGCTGTCAGTTTGAGGAGAGGAACAACGTCTGAGTTCTTACAGATTTGCCTTCTGATAGAACTCTTCTTTGTATTCCTGGTTTATTCCAACAATATCTGGATCTCTTTCTACTCCAGTGACTCTTATAAAGACAGAGCTATCAGAGCAACCACAACAGCTGGGAAGGAAGAACTGTTTCCTGTAGTGTGACTCAGCTGATGAGCTTCCTTTAATGCTTACTTGATACTGCATTGATTCACCAGCGACACTTGTAACTGTTGCTACCTCCGTGTGCTTCCAGGCTGATATATGCTTTTCCTTACAGAAAATCCAGAAATAGCTGGAAGTAGTAATGCAGTGACATATGGGCACCCACCTCTTTTCCCAGGTAGATTTTTCTATGGGCTAAGGTAGGACTTTGGGAAAAAAGACCTCTTTGGTGCTAGTCATCTGATTAAACTCTCCAGTTTAATCTCAGTCTCAGCCTCAGTCTTCCAATATATGAGAGCTATAGGCACTACCCTTCCAGCATTATGGAGATCCTTCTGTTAATGAGAATGGTTCAGAAAAAAACCTTTTGTTTTAAGTATTTCTCAAGAGTTAGGCCTAAGTCAGAACTGGTTTGTTTTTCTCCCTCTTCCCCTTAGTGTTCTGGTGTTCATTCCTGAGGTGCCCTTGCCTCTGAAAGCCCACACACTTCTCAAAACATGTCAGTTCCACAGAGCAGTCTAGGGAAGCACTGGGACAGAGCAAGAAGTGCATCATAAACTGCAGAGAATTTAGATGGGGTCCAACAGAAAGTTCTGCCAGGAGGAGGAAATGCAGAGCAGCCCTTCACTGACTGCTTTGTGGCTGTTCAGTAGTCACAGCTACCTTCTTATACTTGCTGTATCCCTCTGAGACTGGTATATTTTCATTAATGGGATCCTAGTAGTGAGAGGGGAAGACAGAAGTGCTGTGCTAGGGCTGCTCTCCCTTGCAGTGGTGTTAGACAGAAGTACCCTGCTGAGATCAGTAGAGTTACATCAGTGCAAATAAGACCAAGGACTTTGTGGTACCTCCTGGATCAGATTGTTTTCTCTTTTGTCTCCTATCTTAAGCAGACATTGTACCATCCTGCATGAGAAAACAACAGGCAGTTTTACCATCTGCAGGCCCTCATGATGTCTTTCAGGAAGGAGCCTGGGCATGATGTTTCAGCATGCACCAGACATGTATGTGAAGCAATACACTGACAGCTAAAGTAGCAGGAGAATTATAACTGGTTGCACATAGTGAACATAAACAGGGTTGGTTCAGACAGCGCTATCACATCAGCCTGCAGTCCCTGGGACAGATTGGATACTTCAGTTAATTCTCAGTCTCCATTACTGCATCACACAACAGAGAAACACCTTCATCGGGATTAAGATCTAAGGATTCTCTGTGGCATCCTGCAGTTTCCTCTCCACAGATTTTCTGTCACTGGGGAATTGCAATTTGGCATTTAGCCACAAGTATATCTTTCTCCTTGTACCTTGCCAGGCATGCTGCACATTGAAGCCCCTGGCCTAAGTCTCCCAGTTTGACAAAATAGGGCAACATGATCCAGATATGGGACAAGTCTGTAGTGGCCTGGCAGATCTATGTCAAATGACTGCATAGGAATTCTTATTCTAGGTGAATCTATGTGGGGAGATTCCTGCAACTACCGTAGAAGAAATTACATGGGAAATCTGTCTGAAAAGAAGACATGACTCATGGGTACTCGTGACATTGAAAACTGAATTTTGAAAACTAGTACTGAACATGCATAAAGCCTTTAGTGTTTAAAAAAAGTCTCCCTCATATGCAGTGTAATCTTGCTGAAACATTGTCAGTCTCCCTGAAATCCCTTAATTGAATTTTCTAAAGTCTTGAAGTGATAGTGAGGGAGAAAGAGAATAAAAAGATACAGAGAGATTAAAGCAGCTTTTCTAGTTAGTCCAAGAGCTAGTGAGACTCCTTCTATATCTCTTTCTTCATCTATTCAAGGCCTCATTCACTTCCCGTGTGCCTCCCACTGACAGTATTGCTGCTTAAGCACACTATGCATGAATTGCCATAATGTTTTATTTTGTTGTAATTGGTTTCTTTAAACCAAGGCTTTAACACCCACTGTCTCATGCCATTAGCAAGGGCATTCTGACCTGCCTTCATGTAAATTGCAGTATCCAAAAGAAATAGTTTTTTTTTTCTTTCTTCCCAATAGACAAGTAACATCTGTGTGAATTCACATTATTTCCTAATAGACAAAAATTGAACTTAAATGCAGTGTACATCAAGATAATAAATGACCCTTGTTAGAGGAAGTTACTGAATAGAGCTCACTGAAGAACTCTCTATTCTCTCAGCGTGACATCTTTCTTTAGGGCCAACACTTGGAATGTTGTTATTACAAGGAGGCATTATAACAAAGGTGCCTATAGTGTGAATGTTGTTCAGTACTCAGTTCAGGGACTGAGTACTCTGCTGTTAGAGCTGGACAGAGTGCTGGATGGGATCTTTGTATTCCAGCCCTCTGTTGCCATTCACTGCTCTAGAGCAGAGTTATGTATTGGGGATGCTGGATTTGCACAGGCAGAAATGCCAGGCTTTATGCATGCAATCAGGACTTTGGACAGGCCCCAGCTTTCAGAAAAAAATACAGGTTACTACCAGCATCTTCTTAATGCAACCCCTCCAGTCTGTTAGGCAGGCATCACAGCAGATGTTCCTGAGAGACTGTCTGGAGAACAGAGGTGACAAGGAGTGGGAGGGAGAAGTCAGGACATTTGGACTGGCTTAGCAGCTGGAAGCCATTAGAATTTAGCAAGGTTTTCTTCCTCAGAGAAATCTTTAAGCAATTAAATTATCATCAGCCCTAGGGAAGTTAACAAACAAATCTCCTATTTTCCTGAACTGCCCTCCAGACTTAGTTCATCAGAGTCTCCAATAAGCCACAGATCTCTGACAGGGGATGCTGGCTGGAGCTTTGCAAACTTACAAACCCTCTTCTTATGCACACTTCAGCCTTCTGTGCTCCCACCCTTTCACAGCCTTCAACTCTGCACAGCAGTAAAGTGTCAGTGTGACATGCACAGGCAGAGGATCTGCTGATCTGAAGAAAGGGCAGAGCTGCAGTACTATCTACAAAGGTAAAATTGGCCTGAATGAAGATGCTCTGCTGCTCCTTCATGAGATGCACATTGTCCATGAGTAATTCAGAACTGCGTTGCTGGGAGCAGGTTCATGGTGATGCAGGAGAGAGCCAGAAAATGGATGCATACTCAGACCCATCCAGGCCAGCTCAAAAGGTCCAGTGAGGGTCCTGTGAAACACTCATTCTCTCCTGCATTTTACCTGCTCTCAGGAGCTTCTCTCCCTTCAGTTTTGCTATTGCATAGCTTCCTTCCTGTGATTCCCAGGCATTTTGTGATTCTGTGATAGGGCTCATAAGAAGCCTTAACAGAAGACGGTTCTTCTCTTATATGAAGTGTAGAGTGCATTTAAGATGTTCTTTAAGATGAATGACAAAGTATTTCAGAAGTAATGAACATCTTAGACACTTTTATACCTCCAGACCTATTCAGAAGTCCTTTACTGCCATCTTTTGTTACAAAGCCCAGAGTCATCATTTGTGTATTCATGCTTGCATTCATTGTTTCTTCACAAAGCCATAGCTGTAGAGAGCTACCACTGACTTAGCCAACCACATATCTACAGAACTGTAAGTGCTTTAAGGAAACACAAGACCTGAAAGTGCTTTATAGATGTCACCAAATGAGATTACATACTTTATAAATATTGCCAGGTCAGATTTATCCAACTGCATAGCTGATACGTACTGACACCATTCCCCAAAATGTCTACGAACCCTGCAGTACAAAACTCCTCCATGCTCACATGCTTTCTACTCACAGGTGTTAATTCCTCTGCTTACAACTGTAACTACCGTAACTTGGTTGAGTTCATTTAATTCAGATAAAGATGGTTTTTCCCAAAAGACCCCAGATGATTTGACATAGGCCAGTACCAGATATCTAGATCAGAAGAATAATCTGTAGCTCCAAGCAAAACATCAGGAGGACGGTACCAGAGTGTCACCACTTCAGAGGAGTATGTCTGACTGGGGATGGACTTGGCACGAGCGAGGCCTGCTAGAATAAAAAATACTGAGTGCTGTGGCAGAACAGTCTTTCTGTGGGTACAATACATAAATGATAACAATAATTGGAAACAGAACATTATTTCCTCTCAGTTCAATAAACACAAGGAGTCCCAGTGCAAATTCCAATCAATTGACAAAAAATTGTGTCTGGAAGATACCTCTAGGGCAGATCAGATCAAGCAATATGCTAAGATGTGCTGGGCTTTACCATTTGTGACTGAAGCAGCCATCACAAACTGATGCCAAGAAAGCCCGTCTGTTCAGTACATTGTTGTGGACTTTACATGTCACTTGATTGTCTGAAGATAAAGGGGTTGATTCTCAGTTCTCTTGAACTGACTTTATGTGGCAGTAATTGCTCTGACTTAAGTGAGGTTACTCCCTGCAACTAGTAGTGCAAAGACAAGAAAGACAAGACTGACCACAGAAATACTTTTCTGAAGTTCAGTAAGAGGTTATGCTTCTGTGCCTTTACTGGCTGTGGATGCAGATCTATATGCATGCTAAAGCTTCAGTCTGAGCAGATATATTAGCAGCAATCAAATTGTGACTCACCGAAGTCAGCTAATTTGAGCTCACCAAGACAGCTGATGAGCAAGTTCTGGGGTTTCAGATCACGGTGAAGAATATGTTGTTGGTGGATGTGTGCCAGGCCTCGCAAAAGCTGGAACATGAAGAGCTTGAAAAAGCCAACAACAACAGAAAAAGAAAGAAATGATTTGGTGTGAATTTGCATTCATACATGAGCTCTGAACTTTGTAAGTCCTGGAACAAAGCAGAGGCAAAGCAACTGAGAAATGAGTAAAAATCTCAAAAATGAATAGAGTTGTCTGAGAAGTAGAAAACTATGGTGGGATATGATTGCTTTCAGGTGGAATATTTCTCCACTAAGGCAATAAAATGCAGTCCCTAATTTTGGAAATTCAGCTTCTCTCTAGAAGTGTGGAGTGTTGACTGCAGGAGCTACGTGCCAAAACACAGTCTAAGCTTTCGGAACAGCAGATATTCTGACCTCAGTGTTGACAACGAAGACATGAAGCTAAGCATGATAAAGGCTTAAGGAGCTGAAGATTTTCCCTGTTGAGCCAGTTATACCAGCAGAGGGAGTTGTGGGGCTGCTTCTCACACCTACACTGCCTCTCCTCGGCCCAAGCTTGACCAGTGAACTGACTCGTTTGGCAATGTGAGCTGTTATCTTCAAGCTGGGAAAATCAAGAAAAGAGAAAGGCAAATAAGAAAGCAAGATAGAAAGAAATATCTAACTCCTACCGCTATGGCAGTATAAATAAGCCTTAAGCAAAATAAGTTGGATAGAAACAAGGTATGAAATTGGATAGTGGCTAGAAAACAAAACACAGTAGAAATACATAAATAGAGTTATCAGAGAAAAGATATTTTTCACAAAAAGCTTAACCTGAAGAGGAAGATAAACAGTGACACCCATAGGTAATTTTTTGTACCAGAAAAGTGTCCCTGTGATATTCTGCACACTTGCATAACACTCAATAGGAATCACTCAGAGGAAAAAAACATTTGCCAGCAAAAAAATGAAATGAACTAGATGAACCCCCTGGAGGACCAGTAAATCATTTTTGTGATTTGATTTCTGCTGACATTGAGGGCTTGAGGCAGGAAAGAAGAGCAGCTGGCTAGTTTTACTCACACAAATGCCAGGGAGTACATGTTGCAGCCGTGTACTCCATGTGCTTTACAAGCCTGCCTGGTAGTAGAGCCCTGGAAGTCTGTGCCCAAACTACAGCACTGCATCTTGGACATATCAGAGCTTTAACGATGTTAAAACTCAGGGCCCCAAGAAACTACATTAGAATTGGTGTTGCTTAACAACTATCCGAAATAAGATGTGAACAAGGTGGCAGCATTTGAAGATGACAGAAGTATTTAGATTAGCCAAGATAAGAAGTGACAGTGAGAAACTTCAGAGAGATCTGACAAAGTCAGATGAATAGGCGGTTTGATAAGGTACAAAGTTACTGTTGACAGCTGTAAGATAAATTAACTGACGCTACTCAGGAAAACGACCCAGGCATTCACCGAGGACATCTGCACTGAAACTGTAAGTCAGTGTGCAGCAAAAAGCCTGAAAGTTAATTAAATGTGAAGATGTGTACAAAGAAGGATCAGAGACTATTATAACATCAATCTACAAAGTAATGGTACATCTTCAGCTCTGCTCAGTTCTAGTCAACCTATCCCAAAAAGCTGTGGCAGAAACAAAAGAGGTTTAAATGACTGAATATGAAGACATTATCAAATAAAGAAAGAGTGACATTTGAGAGCTTTTAAGAAGAGGGATTAATAAAGTATTCTAATTATAAGAAGATACAAATCTGTGTAAAGACAGATTTGCTTGCCACAAGATGTCATTGTCCACAAAAGCTGAACTGGGCTTATGAAATGGAAAGAATTAACTGCAGAAAGACTTTGGAGACCAAGAGGTAGTCTGTTACATCTTTTATCAGTCAGTTTTTCTCCAAAGTGCTTGTCATATATGGAACAAATAGATACTAGTAAGAGCTTAAAGATGTTTGAAGCACTGCAGCAATTTACTGTCACCATATAAGAGAAAAATAACATTCTCGTTCATACTTTAAGGGATGTGAGTCTTTTAAGGAACTCACCATAACATTGCAAGGATGAAGTCCTCCAGGATGCTGGGCCATGTACTGTGCCAGATCTGTGTGCTAAATAACAGCAGATAACTTGAGGCAAAACAGTGAGAGTAAAGTGCTTTTACCAACTGTGTCTCTTCTGTATGTAGAAAAAATGAAGATATCGCTTTGACCTTGGAGAACATTTAATTTGATGCAGCACATAAGGATGTGCCTAAGTGCTTGGTCACATCGGGGAGCTGGCTGACCTGTTATCTCTCCCTAGCAGTTTATGGCCTGAAGTTGATAGTTAACAGAATTCATACTTGTGCCAGAATTAATCATAAAACTGCAGAATGAATAAAACATTCTCATAATTTTGTTGATAGCTGTTAGCAAAAGCAACAGAAGTAGTCTCTGCTCATGCAGAGAACTCAGTTAATTGGCATCCTGCCCTACCCATGATAGTATCCTGCAGCTTGGTCTTGGTGAGCCACATGAGGTCAGGGACAAATTTGATACCAGGATGTGAGCTGGCATCGTTATTCCCTGTCCTTGTGGTGCTCAAGAACAGTACTGTTATTGTATTGTCAAGGCAGAAATGGACGTAAATAGTTTCTTCCACCCTCGTGTAGATGAGATGTGGTATCATTTTTGCATACAGCTGCTGCATACACTGAAAAAACAAAAGCAAAATTGTGTGTGGTAATCAGGAGATCAATAAGGGAAATCAGTCATTGCACTAAAGGATTGCAATTTGTTTCTTTGCCAGTGTCTCATAGTGCAGCAAATTCATTATGCAGCCACTGGTCTTCCCAGTACTTCCCAGTACTAGCTTCACAGGAAGCCAGAAAAAGGAATAACTCACCATGTACTCAAGGACAAATGTTAGGGTCTCCTTGGTCTGGATAATATCATGGAGCAGCACAATGTTGGCATGTTTCAAATGCTTGAGAAGAGAAGCTGGAGAAACATAAAAGTAAGATCAGCTTCAGTACTGCTTCTGCAAGTTCAAGGAGATTGTACGTGCAACAGAAAATAAAATTGGGGGGGAACTATTCCAATCTCAGCATTTCTGTACAGCAGCATATACTGAATGTGGAAGAGGATGGAACAGCTCCTTAGAGAAGCAGGAATTAGTGCTGTGGGCTAGGCAGGAGCCCTTCTTCTCTCAGAGGCACATTGCAGTCCTCAGCTGTCAGCTTCTGAGCCAATGAGAAATCCTTGTTCCAGGAAAACGCTGAGAAGCCGGGGCTGGGAGCTCCCAGTGCCACAGTGTGGCAGACTTGGGTCACCACTGAGCTTCACGTTCAGTCTGCCATCCACCTCCCAGCACATGCCCTCAGAAAGGCCCTTTGTGGACTTACGGGGATACATAGGTTTCCATGGTTTCCATCAGCTTCCAGCTTTTGGTGTAAAAGCTGCCAGAAGAAATCAGTCTATGCTGAATTTAGCTAGGTGCTTTTAGCATATTGGTAACTTTTTCCAGCTTCAGACTCAAAGAACAGAGATGAAGTCATTGAGTGCACAGTGATTTATGCAGCTCTGGCATGTTTTGTCTATTGGCCTGTCAGCCTCAGAGCTGCTCCAGCATTTTGCTTCAACAATGCAAACAAACAATATTTGAAGGTTTTTAGATTGGCAATGCAAACTTTGCATCTTACAACCTAACAATTTAGGCTGGTTCTAGAAGCCTTATAGGCCTAAGTACATGTCAGTAGTGAGACTGCTGAGCAGTAGAGATACTTGGTAAGTGCTGGAAGCAGCAGAGAATGTCAATTAGCTCTTGCACGGAGCTTGGTGCTGCTGGAGCTGAACTGCCACTGGTACTGCCACGAGTGCACTGTGGTATGAACCTTAAATATGCTTCACACTGTACCTAATAGCCTGTGAACTCAGTAATTATACTCTGGCTATATCCCAGCCAGACTCTATCTGCTATCGGAAGAGACTGCCAACCTGGCTGTGTGATACCTTGAAAATCCCACGTGGCCAAACTAATCTGTTGCTCCAGAGGAGCAGTTCAGAGGGTCTGCAGTGAAATGAAGAATTCGGCCCCTGTGCCTGAATCAGGCCCCTGGGAACTGCTCCTTGTTGGTTGCTTCTACAGCCTCCTGCTGCGGTGTCAGGTGCTACAGCTAGAACTGAGCTTAAAATGCATTTCAGCTCTGTGGTGCTTCCTGGGGTGAACTGGCTCTTTGTCAGTGGTGCACCATTCCTCCAGGGTAGATGAGAATGTGCCACATGAATAAATCTTGTGCTTTGTTTGCACTACTGACTTACACTGTAAATTTGAAGTGTCAGATGCTGCAAAGCTGAGCACTACACAAAAGATCTATTTAAAGTAGACTCTTTGTGAAATCACCCTGGTTTTCTCCCATACTGAATGAAGTTAAGACTCTCAACCTGTCCTACAGTAGAGCATGTTAAAGGGGTGCTGATCATTAGAACATCATTAGTTCTACATAGATAAAGCTTTTAAGACTTATTTCTCTAGTGGACAAGTGTAAAACCAGAGCAAAAAACACCACAGCAAGTGGGTGTATGCAAACTGTATAGCACAAACCATTCTGTAAAGAGCTATACTTTGGTATCTCTCTGCTTTCACTCAGAAACCAGCTAAAGAGTTTGTTCACTTTCTTATCTTAATTACACTGGTATAAGCCTGGAGCGAGTCCACTGACATCTCCGTTTTTTTCTGAGCTTCAAATGGAGTTGTCTGATGTGAGAGTCCCTCTGTGCTTGGGCTGCTATGAATGCTGGCACATCCGGCCTCTGACACTCCATCTCATGAGCAACAAAGTCCACCCTAGTTTTGAACTATGTAAGAAGTAGAAAACAAAATACGTGTGGCCTCTTACATGTGTAGCTCTCACTGACACTAGACAACAGGCTGGTGCAAAGGTTACATACTTCTGTGAAAGGAAGAAACTGGATTATGGTCCTCTTGGGATAGTTGCACAGATGAAAATAGAAGCTTAATCAAGCAGGCAGTTTGTGAACTTGTGTCTGTAGGGACACATAAATGCATTCAACCAAAATCAAGCACTTAAACAAAAGCATTTCTTTCTCAAGGAACTTGAGAAAGCAGCAGATACTTTGCCCCGTGCTCTGTGAAGGTGACCGATAGAATTTCTTGCCATGCTGAAAAGGTAAATGTTGTTAAGCACTGGATTTACTCAAAGTATTTCTCTTCAAGCTGGGATGTGTGATCCTCCACGTATCAGCTGTGTTTGTGCTAACACCATGCAGACTTCCAGTTCACAACTGCCCAATGTAAAAACTGCTGTGCTCTGCTAGTTCCTAGCAGACCTAGCTTGTGGAGGTGGCTTTGCATTTGTCAAAACAATAGCAGTATAGCTGTGTCTGAATTTAACCTAGCTCACTCCAGGGTTCATGGAGGCCTCTAGATTAGGGCAACCTTGGCTGAATGTTGAGTGAAAGGAGCACAGGTCAGAGTTCTTCCAGGCAAGCCCAGAGCCTGTGCATCTGTGCACTAAAAACAATTTGCATGTGTATATTTAGATGTTTAAAGCTGAGCATAAGGAATCTGAGCCTGTTTCAGTATTGAACACTGAGACATCAAAAAGACATTTTTTGAAATGGTTAACTCTGAGCTGTGGCCTGTGGATACCTTGTGGATGTGCAATGAGCATTTCTGTCAGCATGCAACTCTGACAGGAGGAGTGAGCTGAGAGACAGAGCAAACACAGGAGAAGCTGCCTGCTGCCCATGTGGCTAACGGTACAAAGACTGTTCTTCTCTTTTAAAGCATGAAATTTGGGAATGAGGGTCAAGCAGTGCACACAACTGACTGACTTCCTCTGTCCCACCAGGAATTCCCTGCATGCCAGGTTCTCTGTCCTTTGACCACTGGATCTGTTAAAGAATTCACTGTGGTGAAGCTGCATGACTTCCATGGAATTACATCCACTCAAGCCCTAGTGTGGAGGTGGGCATGGCACACAGCAGGATTGATGCCAGGGAGGTGAAGTGTGTTGACAGAACAGAAGCCAGGTGAGTCCAGCTCTGCTTAGAGCAGTACATCATTAATGAAGTTTGATCCCAACACAGTCAGTGCTGGAGCATCCAAGGACTGGTCTGGAGAGCAGATTTGACTCATGTTATTATTGATGTCATTTATATTTTTATTTTTAGTGTTCAAAATATGGACAGTGAGGGAAGGCTTCTCTCTTATTACACAGCCATAAAGGGTATAGCATCAGCCAGGCATCATACTTCAAAAAAGATGATGCCCACTAAATAAAATCTTAAATCTCTTCCAAAAACACAGAGATTGAAAACCTAGCCCCTCTTTGATATGCCTTGTATTAAGCTCCTTTATTACATATACTATGTTTGTTCCATTGCTTAGAGCCCAGAGTCTGCAGCTGCAGCCCAAGTTGTTCTTCCTCTGATTCTCCATGTAAGTGGGACAAAACATGTATCCCAAAACATGTATCCAGAAGCTGACAGCTGCAAAAGAAGTTACTTATCTCCTGTCATATCTCCCTCAGCTTTGGAACTTGTATCTGATACATCTTGACAGGCAACATGTCCCACATCCAGTAGCCCCACCTGGCAGATGCAAGTCACTCTGATCTGCCACTGCCAGAGGAATTTAGAAATAGCAGTGAGAAAGCAACCTGGATTGCAGGTAGGAGGTGTGAAGGGGTCCTATACTGCTGGAACAGACAAGCTGTGGCTGCAGCCAGCCCTTTCCTTATCGCAGGCTTGGCTGTATCTGCCTGTCACAATACACAGGCCAGCAGATTCCCCCTCCTTCTATAACATGCTTAGCCCCTACAACACAAAGATCTCCTTCATGAGGGGATAAGGACACTGAGAGTTTTGTGAGAAGCACCTTGTACACTCATTCAGCAAGAAAGGAATTAGGAAGCTGTCACACGGAGTTTTTTTCAGATTAAAACAAGTACTCTTCAAGAATGATGTCCCTCACTCTATACCAGTGTTTGACAAGGTTCAAGAAGGTTCTTACCTTCTCGAATGGCTGTAAAGGGCACTCCCTCCTCTGTCTCCAGGCTGATAACTTTCAGTGCCACCAACTGACCATTGATCCTGTTGGTTCAGAGCAAAAGGTCACACAGAGCACCTCAGTGCTTGGCATGACAACAACATTAACAAACTTCTGAGGTGCTTCACATTCATCCAAGCAAAAGTATTTAGGACTCACTCTCCCTTCCAGGCCAAACTTAGAAACGAGTTACAAATCTCTTGTCTTCTTGAGAAGTGGAATGGAACCAGCCCATCCAGACAGAGCAGGTATTGCTAGTGTGCCTTAGTGCTCCCATTCTTCCCTCTCACAGCTTTCCTGCTCCCATGTGATGGCAGTGTGCCCTCAGCCTCAATTTTGCTGTCATTCAGGAATTCCTCATTCCCAGGAAAACCCTTGCTCCATTTCTGATCTCCCTGGCATGCTGCCATGCAGCAAAATGCACAGGCGGAGAGTTCATTGCTAAATTGGAGGAGTTCTCTGAAAAAATTGGATGGGTCTTTGCAAATATTCCAAATTGGATGGGTTTTTGCAAATATTCCACTTAAAAGCAAACCCAGACATTTGATTAGTCTTTATCTTCCTACAAGTACTCCAAATTGCCCAGCTTCAAGCTTATTCTTCTGGTTTCTGTAACTGATAGGCATTGTGAATGCACTTACAGCGCTGGTGGTCCATGCTCACCTGCTGATCCCCCTGTAAACAGTTGCAGAGGACCCTTCACACAGCTTCTCCAGATGTACATAGGATGTGGCAGCTCCAAATGGGATGCCTTGCCTCTGCTTCATGAAAAAAAATGGTATACATGTTAGGCTGCCATGAAGAACTACAAGCTACCAGCATGTCATTCACCAGTTAAATATGGATTCACAGCTGGAATAATCATAAGATGAAGTATCTTCTGTCTGTCATTGTGGATGCTGCACACTCACCCATTTAAAACTCTCCACAACATCCTGTTCTTGGAAGGGATCAGTGTAAGTCCAAGGCCTCCACATTCTGCACCTTCGACTCTGGAGAGTGTGGAAATGCTGTGGCTGCTCTGAGAGCACAGGAAGGGCTGCTCTTGTTACATCTCTCAGCTGGCACAAGAACAGAAGGCAAACCATATCACTGGTGAACAACCATTTAACTGCAGTGGTTCTTTCCTTTCTCTTTGACTGCACTGGCTTTAAGCACTTCATTTTCAGCTCCCTCCCCATCATTCATGCTTTACAGTGACGATTTCTGAGACATGCAGAAGGGGAAAAACTGTCTGTATGTTTCTGTCTTGGTAAACGGTAGCTATGACAGCACACAGAGATAAAACTGCTGCAACTACTGAAGAAACTTCAATCCGAATCATTCTAAATACATGATATTTTATCTTACCGTTGATTTTTTCCTTTCCAGATAGTAATCTGTTAGGGCAGGGAATAAAAAACAAATGCAGGAGTAAAATTTAGAGAAGTTTAAATTTATGCCATTCTTCTTCTCCTCCCCCCTGCCACATTAAGCCTTTCTCACCACTGTATGCTTTGCACAGCCTGGTAATTTGGCCCACACTTCGTAACAGTGCCATAAACCATAACACCAGCAGTAACGAAGGGCAGGCAGCCTGCAGTCTCCTCATGGGCAGCTACATGGGACAGATGCCTGCATCGTCATTGAATTCAAACACAACAGAACTTGTAATCTAAGGCATGATGCCTCCTTCAGAACACTGATAGATAGATAGATCATTAGCTCCCTGTTTTATAATCTCTCAGTGTCACAGAGCTTACTGGAGTGCAATCTCTTCCCAGATCATCACATCAAAGGAACTTATTTGCTATCTAAGGCATGAAGCGTTCTCTCAGCGGTTTCACAAGCCTGAAGCTGCAATGCTTGATGCTGTCTAGTTAGAAGCTAATGTGAACACCTGCGCTTCCTTACAACAAGGGGAAGAGCCCAGGCGCAGTCTCTCACAGTGCAGAATCATTGCATGGTGATATTAAATACCTCTTCTGTAGGTGCTGCTTCCACGTGCTGAAGGCCTCTGCTGTGCTGGGAGCCCCTTCCCTCAGAGCAGCAACTGCAGCACCGTGCCCTGACAGCACTCACACACAGCATGTCTCCCCTGCTGTCCTGAGTCCTGCTAGCGCTCTCTCTTTTCCCATTTGCTCCCCCCTCTAGCTGGTCTTATGACTTGCGTGAGACCTCTGCCTCGAGCGTTCTTATGACTTCTGCAGTTTTTCTTTTAAAGTGCAATATGCAATGATCCAAACTCATGCTTGCAGTAGCTCTGTTGGCTTAAGCTCATTGGGTACATGTCCTCTAAAAATATCCGACATATTTTCACAAAAAAGGAAGATGGAAGATAGACAATAAATCCAAACCTGCTCATATGAAGCTCTTTTGCTTAAGTAACTCTCAGTGTGATAGATGAGGTAATTAACAGATTAGGTAATTGTAATGTATCGCGCAGGAACGGGCTGTGACTTTACTCATGTCTGTACAACTACAGTTTTGTATGCCGTTAGCTTTAAGCTGAGCTGCCTGAGCGGCGTGGGTGAGCAGCGCACACAGCAGCTGTGCATTGGCTGCCCGTCGCTGCAAGGCTTCCCACGCAGGAAGGCATTTCTGGGCGTTATGATCACGCTTTGAAAATATATTTATAACGGGCTTTGAAAATATATTTAAACACAAACAACGCGCGCGGTTTTGCAGCGGCGCGACCCTCCTGACCCACGCTAACACCACGGCCCGGCACGGAGGGCGGAACGTTGAAGCGCGGCTGCGCATGGCGGCGTTTTGTCTCAGGCGGGGACCCGTCGATGCGGCCGCCCGAGCCCGCCCCCGGGCTCCTCCATCCCGCCCGCTGCGCGGCGCAGGCCCCGCCCCGCGTCCCCCAGCTGATCCGTGCCCCGGCGGCGTGGGCGGGCGGTAGGACAGAGCGCGCGGCCCGGTGAGGCGCGAGGCGGCGCGCGGCGCGTTTTGCTCACCTGAGGCGTCCGCGCGCAGCTGCCGCTCGTTCGCGCTTTCACGCCGACGGTCTCCCCCGGGGGGGGCCGAGGGGCCGCCGTCCTCCGGCAGCCGCCGAGGCGGCGGGACGGGTAACGGGTGCGGAAAGTTCGGGGGAGGCGCGGGGACGCGGCCGGGCCTCTGCAGGAGAGGGGCTGGAGCGCGGCGCCAGGCAGAATCGCGCTGCTGAGGGGCCCCGCGACAGCTCCGTGCGTCGCCCGGGCCGTAGCGCGGGAGGCGGCGAGGGGCCGCGCTGCATAGGTGAGCCTGCTGTGGGCCTCCGCCGGGCCGCACTGACGGGGTGGCGGCTCGCGGGGCTCTGCGGGGCGGGGAGCGGTGCGTTCCTAGGGGTTCCTGAGGAGTTTTCCCTTTCGCCGTGAGGAGGTCACCTGAAGTCACTCTTTATCTCTTTTCACTTTCGCTTTGCGTGACTCGGTTTCTTAGGGCTGAGCGCGCTTTCACCTTTCGGCGTCCCTCAGAGGCAGCCCGGCCCGGCTGTGCGGGCGGTTACTGGCGGTGTGGCGCAACCCGAGTAGTTGTAGAGGGGCCGGTGTTCTCCTGGGTGGGGGCCTCGTCGCCGCTGTCACGGTACGCTGCCTTCATCGAAGGAGCCGTGCTCAGCAGCTGTCTGGCTCGGGAGGGAAAGCATCTGCATGTGTGCTGAATGAGGAAGGTGTGGTTTCAGAAAAGGGGGCTGAGGGATGCTCACAAATCTTGGAGCTTCTTGTCTGTTCGGTAGATCTTAAATTATTAGTTGGCTGTGTAATTTTCATCCCAGTTCTTTTGGCTAATGCTAGGAACTAGGAAGCTTAGAAATAACGTTTTCAGCAGCTGTGTGGATAACTTTGTGCAACAAAGTTGCAGTCCTCTTAGTTACAGCTCTACAGTTCTGTAGCAGTAAGCCAACATAGGGGGATGTTATAGAAGGATTTGTTATTATCTGTCAACTGTAGCAGGTAAATAAACTACCAGACGGTGGTACGTTTTCAAGGCTGATTGGAGTTCCGTTATTTTGGCAAGTCAGAGGTGTACAGGTTCTGTTCAGCCTTGTTTCTGTTCAGCCTTGAATATGAGATTACTTTTATGTCTGCGATACTCAGTACTCAATGTCAGTGAGAGCTGTAGTCCTGTAGTAATCAGATGAATGTTTACGCCAGGTCATTCCTTGCAGTAGCAGTTGTTGCAGTGTGGCAGTGTTTGATTTCTGGAGAATTGGAGTTAGCAATCTGCTCTGCTAGTGGGAGCCATGACATCACTGTCACAGTAGTAACCATCTGTTTGTAACAAAAATCCATTTCATAATTTGGATCCGTTTGGCAGTGTTAGCAGTTCTTCTCTTACAGTGTTGAAAAGAAAAAGTAGAAAGTAAGCATGTGGGCAGAGCAGCGCAGGTGCTGATAACTTGCCAATCCTTCATACCATGAAAGTGATATGCGGTATCTGTTTTTTTCACTTCTGTGATTATTAAACTTTGCTACTTACAACAGTTCAGCTGAAATAATGCAATTGTAAAGCTACAACATTATTGTATACAAATGAAATTAGGTGATAGGCTCAAAAGAAAATGGCGTATTCTGATCGTGAGAAAACAACTTTATAATGAGAACTTGTTACTAGAAGTAAAATAGTAAATTTTTGTGCAGTCGAACTTCATGAGACATATACGTTTTTGAGCCATTAAAAATAAATTCCTCAATGATAGAAGCCAAGCATATTAAGAGTTAATTTCTCTGGTCTTAAATATTTATGGCGTGATACGACTGTTGATACTCTGACAACTCTATCAAAGCTTCATATAGTCCACAAGGAAGTTATATATTTAGCTGCAGTCCTTCACAAAGAAGTGCCAACATCTTCAATAAAGAAATTCTAAGAACTGTATTTAAATGGATTTATTCCAAGCAAGAATGCATCACAAAATCAGAAGTTCTAGGAATGATTCTTTTCTTTTGATGTTTCGTCAACACCTGCATTACTGAAGTGTTGTATGGCAGTTTCTTTATCTTCAGACTTCCTCTGTTAGTGTAAAAATTGACAGTAGTGGGTTTGTTTTAGTTATTTGTTGTTGTTGAGAAAGAAGAGGAAGAAATGTCTTGAAAGCAGTATCTTTCTGATGATGAATGCAACTGTTTCTGATCCTAGAAAGTCTGATCTGACTTGATGTTTCTTAAGTGCAAAGTGTGTATGGCTCATTACAACACTATTTTGTTATGTTAATTTGATTTTTTAATTTTATATTTTGCTTTATATTTTTGTGATTCCTATCTGTTCTTTGCCAGTTCTGAAGTGCAAATCACTATTTTGGTGTCCTGCATCTGGTGTTACAAAGGTCTGAATGGTACCTCATTATTCAGAGCACCCTAGTGCTGGAGAGTACTGGAATTTGTGTGTTACTTCAGTTATTTGTCACCATGATGAGCATTATTTCTAATTGTGAATTGAAACTTTTCTGTATGCAGTTTACAGCTTTGTATATATTATCTCTTGTGATCAAGACTTGTCTTTTTCTGTATGAGGGGTTCAAATATTCCAGATTTTTTTCTTGGAGATGAACTGTCTTTAAAAGGCCACTGTGTTAGAATATTTTTCTGTTTTTGTTACAGCAGATATGAGACAGCAACCATGCTGAGACAAAATGGCCAAAAGAATTTGTCTGAAACTTATTTCAGTCAATGTGATCACGTGTTCCTTAATGTAACTTTGAGTACTTTATCTAGCCAGGTAGTGCATTGAGGAAAATACAGATCTCTCTCTACCCAACAGACTGTAAGAAACAGGTATTCTCTGTAGTATCACTTTTCTTACAAGACAAGTAACACGAAGGTATCTTTGGGAAGATGGAAAGGTGTGAGCGTAGATTTCCAAAGTTCAAAACGGAAAAGGATAAAAGCATTAAATAGAGCAGCTGCTTTTTCCTCGTTGGTTCATGTGGGCTTATCATATAGCTACTCTGCTACCAGATTCTGTGAAGAAATGTTTTGAATTCTTCCATTGGTTTTCTGCATTCCTGCACAAGCTTTAATAGAACTGTACTGTTACATACGGTAATGTGATTTGATATGTGAATTCCTAACTGTTATCTGTTTCTATAAATATATTTGCCTTATACATTTGGTTTCAGTTTAGGATTCTTAAACTGAAAACAAATCAATTACACTGCTTCAATGTTTTTTTGAGTGTGTACTGAGAATTAGAGAGGGTTTTTCTGCCTTTGAACTAGATTTTGATCGGTTTGCCCTTACAATGGGCCTACTGTGAGAAGAGTAGGTAGGACAAGTCTGACTGCTTAGCTTTGTCTGCTGGCTCTGTGTGACTGAACCAAACCATCCTTGTGTCGTGGAAGTAATTATTGATTTCTACGTGTGGGATCTAACACTTTGCTTCTTGTTTCTTGGGGTTCTGGGATTATTATTATCTTGGTTTCATGTTATTTGCAGTTAAATAGCTGTATATATATATATATTTTTTTTTTGTTTTGTTTTGTTTCACAGTTTGTGAAGAGACTGTTCCTTTTGAAAGAGACATGATTTGGTGGTGATGGAGTGCTGCCACTGACAGATGGCCTCACAGGAAAGAAGGTGAGAATGAGTGAGCAGCTAGGTAGAGCCACAGAGGCTCCCAGAAACGTGCCAGCCAATGATTGCTCTGTGAAACTACTGAGTAATGTCAGCATACTCTGTGTGTAACCTAAGGTGGAGGAGGGAGGAGGGAGGAGTAACATAGCTTCAAGTTTCAGTTATGTCTGGAACAGTCAACTTATTAAAACAGCAAATTCTTCTTTATTTATTGAACCTTGTGGACATAGGAACTTAAAAGTAACATTGTCTGGTGAATGGTAAAATCATCTCTGCTGCCTGAGATGGAAAATTAGTATCTTGTAATAAATTCTGGGATATAAGTACCCACACAGTGATCTGAAGGTTATCAAATGAATAATATCTGGAGTATAAGGCTGTAAACTAAATTGAATGCACAGTATGCTGACAAAAGCTCTGTTATCCAAGAACACAACACTGTAACATGTGCTTTGTCCAGCTCAGTTAAATCCATGTTCTTGTTTCTAGCCAGGTATCCTAAATGTGGTGTTGGATTTTTCACAGAATCACACAGTCACAGAATTGTGAGGGTTGGAAGGGAGCTCTGGGGATCATCAAATCCCTAACCTCCTTTT